TCCAACTCCTGTCCATCCATATGCGTAGCAAGGGCAAATTCACCCTCTACTGGCGTAAAGGCATTCAGCAGGAGCTCGCGACGCTCCCTGAGCGACTTCTCAACAATGGCCTCGCCGTTGAGATAGAGGAGATCGAAAGCAAAAACGCAGACCTTCACCTTGACATCTTCGATTTTGACGTCCTTCTTCTTCCGCGTCATCAGCTGCTGGAAAGGGAGGACTTTCTTCTCGTCAACATCCCACGCAACTGTCTCACAGTCAAGGACGAAGCTCTTCGTATCCTCCTTGACCCAAGTGTGCAGTTTGGCAAGGATATCGGGATACTTTTTGGAGAGATCTTCAGAGTTACGGGAAAAGATGGCAGCAACACCATTTGCCGCAGCTGTCGTAGCCCCCGGCAAAGATTGACTAATCTCCTCATCCGCGGATTTCGCAACGTAATGGATCTGCGCCCGTTCGCCGTCGTACTTGTATTCACATGTGAAGGTCTGATCCTCGAAGCGGTCCAGAACTTCAGTGATAGCTTTCGTTGGTTTTGCCAACATTGGCTTCAGGGGCACGCCGGGCTTCAGCTTGCAATGCTCGCGCAAGTTCATGATGCCATGTTCCACCATGGCGGGGATGATGACATCGTAGCTCGGAAGTTCACTAAACATGATTAGTACGAGGCTATGGGTAATTGTGAGACCAAGCCACAAACCTGTAAACTGTCTTGAGAACGGCCTCGGCCTGTTCCACGTCTGTCGTCTTGGGTACCTGGCCTTTGGCGTCGGCCTCGTGGAAGACCACAGCTTGAGCCAAAGACACCAGAACGGACCTTTCTGCCAGTCCCAATCGAAGCTTACCCTCGAGGAATCGGACAAGATACTTGGCTTCGCTGGGACCGCCCTTGTCCTTCGTGATATCCACCTTTCCGGAGGAATGGGAATCGGCTGCTGATAGCAACTTCTTGATGGCGTCCACCTTACGGCCCTGGGCACCATTGCCAGAAACAGTGGCGATGCCCATGAGACCCTTGTGAACTCCCCGTATCGTCAAAGCTTTGGGCTTGAACATGGTTGGCTGTGTTGATCTACTTTTGACGGCAACGAGGCCGAGATCTCCAATATCCTTCTGGTCTTGTTTGATGACTGCGAGGCTTCGTCCCGTGGATTCACCAATGGACTTCATGATGAGCGACTCACCAATGCCCAGCTCAATGCCGGCATAGTCAGGAGCCAGCTTGTTAATCATGAGCAGAACAGTGGGAAGAAGATCGTCGGGGGTCAGACGCAGAACCTGTCGGAGGAATAGAGAACAGTGTGCCATGATTTCGAGCCGCTTGGTCGTGAGCTCGATCAGGGAGAAGGTCGTACAGAGCGCGGCATAGGGAACTGGTTCGCCCGCCTTCCAGTCGGGATATGGGTCCTTGGTTTGGGTCCTCAATTTCATCTGCACCTTTTCCAAGGCCTTCTTCTTCGCTGCCGTAGGCTTGGCCTCCTCTTCGTCGTCTTCAACTACGTCTTCTTCTGACGCAGACTCCGTTGCATCCTCCTTATCGTCCTCCACGACAGGTGTGGGAGACTTGGCGGTCTTCTTCGGTTGGGCAGTCTTCGATGCGTTTGCGGCCTTTACAGACTTGTCTGTGCCGTTCTTTTTGGCCTGGGAGGTTTTTGGTGACTTTGATCGGGACTTGCTAGGAGCTTCGTCCATCACTTCATCTTCGTCCTCGTCCTCAATGACACGTTTGCGGCCTCTGCGCGGTCTCTTCGTGGCAGGCTCATCGTCCTCATCCTCTTCGACAATCTCATTCTTGACCTTCGGGCTCGATGCTTGTACGGCGGGACTCGGGCTTCTGGTACGTTTCCGCGGCTCTGTAGTTGACTCGTTAGTCAATTGAAACAGGAGACGTCCATCGTATGAAATAAAAACATACTGCTAGGAGATGCCCGTGTCTTGACGGCATCTTTGGCTGCATCGTCCTCCTCTTCCGTCTCCTTCTTAACCTCCTTCTTAACCTCTTTCTTCGGGGCTGCCTTGGTGGCGAAGCTCAGCTTGCTCTGCTGGGGTTCGGGCTTGGATCCTTTCGCTCCAAAGAACTTTCTGTAGAGCTCTGTCAGCAGATTTTCTTTGACACCACACGATGGCTAGAATTGAGAATAATTCCATTGCATCCGTGGTGGTCCTAGGAGCATTGTCCTTTCACACACCCCAACGTTGTCTGAGATGGCTTGACGTACCCCAGCGTCGCCTGCTTTGGCGCCATTGTGATGGCTGGTCGAGTGTAGATACTGAAGAGTCGAGAGCTGGTATGAAACGCTGCCCCAAGTACGTTTCTTTGACCGATTGAACTGCTCAGAAGGCGGGGAAGAGCAGACATGAAGGTTGTAGGAGGACCCTGGGGAACCTCGACGCGCTTGGAGCAGAAGAATCGCGTTAAGAGCTCCTGCCTGGTGACGCGAAAAGGACCCGTTGCTGCACGGGCCCACAGAAACTTTCCAGGCAGCATGGGCAGGCACGGTAGGCACGGTAGGCAGCGACCTGGACCACCACTGCGCCGCTTCGGGAAAGTTTTCTGAACCACCCCGATTGGGCTTAATGCACTGGAAGAAGACTGCCAGTTGTCGGTCTATTGTAAGTGCGCCATGCCGAGAGGAGCTTTTCAAATTTTATGAGGCATGAGCAATGTGCGTGTCATATCACAGTGTGCTGGATGTCACAAAAAGGGACTAAAAATTTGTCGAACCAGGAGGATATCTGCAGACCCTGGCCATGTTCAGATTGTGACCACTTCACCCTCTCTAGCTAGTAGGTATTGTACAATAGGACAGAAAGGTTAGGAAACAATTATTCATCATGCGCAGGAATTTAGTTGAAGTAGTAGGTCTCATCAGGGGTACGGCCGCGGATGAACTGGGGCTCGGTACCGGGGACGTAGATGTCCTCGTAGAGAATCTTGGGGGTGGTGTCGGGGACGGCCATGGCCTCAGCAGCGGCAACCTCCTCGTTGACGAAGCTGCGGGCCTCCTTGTCAATGGTCTTGAGCTCGTCCTCAGTGACAACCTCCCAGTCCATGATCTTCTGCTTGAGGCCGGCGATGGGGTCGTTGGTGGAACGCATGCGCTGGATCTCCTCACGGGTACGGTAGGTGGTACCGGGGTCGGACATGGAGTGACCACCGTAGCGGTAGGTAACGTACTCGAGGACGAGGGGTCCGTTCTCGGCAACAGCGTAGTCCTTTCCGTACTTGACGGCGGCCTTGACGGCGAGGACGTCCATGCCGTTGACCTTGAGACCAGGAATGTACTGCCCGCGCTTGTAGTAATCTGTGAGGGCTGATGAACGAGCAGCAGCGGTACCCATACCGTACTTGTTGTCTGGGAAAGTTCGTTAGCATGACCGATGCAATAATCTTTAATAGCGCTCAAAACTCACTCTCGCAGCCGAATAGGGCGGGCAAGTTCCAGAGCTTCGCCATGTTGAAAGCCTCGAAGACCTGGCCCTGGTTGCTGGCACCGTCACCGTACAGGATAACGGAGGCGTTCTTGCGACCGGTGTACTTGTGGGCGAAAGCCAGACCAGCACCGACGGGCACCTGTGCACCGACGATACCGTTGCCACCGTAGAAACCCTTGGTGAACATGTGCATGGAACCTCCCTTGCCGTACGCAATACCCTCGCGGCGGCCCAACAGCTCACCAATGATGGAGCGGACGGTACCGCCACGCATGTAGGCGAAGCCGTGGCAACGGTAAGCAGTGATCAAGTCATCCTCGCGGGTAAGAGCGTGCTCAATGCCGACAGCGACAGCCTCCTGACCGGTGGACAAGTGGCAGAAACCACGAATCTTCTTCTCCTTGTACAAGCGATCGGCGGCCATCTCGAGTTGTCTGCGCAAAGGGTGAGTAACAAAGCTAAAGCTAATACGTTTTTGCAAAGAGACAGAATTGTCCGTACCTGACAACAACCATATCCTTGTACATCTGCTTCAGCTCCTTCTTCGTGACATCGAGGGTGTACGGCGGGGGGTCGAGCTGGTAGGTCTCGAAGCTCTCATCGCTCAGGGTGATCTGGAAAGGCTCATCGTCGGACTAGAACAGTGTTACGGGTTAGCAGGATGCAATTGAGCATGGCTCCATATCGGGGAGCGTTTTGGTGTCGCAGCATGTCCGGCGAATGTGGCGATGGGAAAAGAGCGCAAACTGACCTGGGGAACTCCCTTCTCCAAAGTTGCCGATGCGGCGTTGGTGGTGACGGACCGGGATGCAGCAGCAAAAGTGGCCGGGGCGCGAGTGCGCAGAGGCACTGCTCTGTTTAACCTGATCGCGCGGGAGAACATCGTGGGGGTGGTGATGATGGAGCCTCCGGACGATGAGGATGAGAAGGGTTCGGGGGAAGGAGGGTGATAACAAATTATTTGGTCGCTGGAGCTCCGAAAAATCGCGGCGTTGGTTGGGAAGGGAGCTGCTGCTTGTTGAAAACTACTAGTCCGTATACGGCTAGCTTGCCTTCACGTGACCCTGCCTCAACGGGATTTGCGAGGTGTGAACTTCGAGCGCGCTGTGACTTTGGCGGGCCCGGCTTCCAACGGTCGGTCATATTCTCGCACGGGTCCCATCGAGTTCGCATTCAGTGGACAGCGAGAACGGCCTTCGGAGATAGCAGGGAAACAGAGCCCAGCACTGGGTCCAATCGCCGCGAAAACCCAAACCCCTACCTTACTCTATCCGTAATAAGTTACCTTAATAAGAGCAGATTAGGACAAAATATGGCTTCCGATCGGAGGTACCTTAGTCGATTGATGCCACAGGTTGTCCAACTCAACGAGGGCATTTCCCCATCTTTCGCATATGCCATGTCTCGTGGTTGCAAGAAATGATTTCAAAATCCACAATAGCAGCGGCGTTATACTTTGTCCCTGTACGGATAGGCACAACAGAAAAGTACGTCAGATCAAGTACCTTACTCATCACAGATCAAACCGGAACTCCGAGCATCAAACTCAAGCCTCAAGCCGCAAGTCCATCACACCTGTTCTGAGGCGGTATATAACTCTATGATACGCTACCTCGGGGTATATTAAAGGTCTGGCTTGGCTAACCGCATGCTCAAATTTACTTGAGCTCGCATCCTGAAATCTGAGTTCTCCGATTGTCGCCAATTAAACCACTGAAGTTGAATCCCCAATGCTGTCAAACCCATGCTGGCCACCCTTTGAAATGCACATGATGCTTCCTGACCAACTCCAAAAGAACGACACCTTTATCTCTCAAGCTACCCCAATCTAGGCTGGGGAGCTTCTGGAAAATGGCCGTTTCATGACGTGTGTGAATTCGTCAATCACCAAATAAACCGCAACGCCTCGTTGATGCCATGGTAACGCAGTTGTTCAGTGCACCTGCGACCGAATCCGTATCGCCGTTCAAAGCCATTAGCTAGCCAAGCAGGAGGCTTCCATGTACGGCCAACTACATCTAGTCGTCATGGAAGAAAGTCTTGTTACCGCCTTGAAGTGGGGCTGTGGAAGGACCAGCGTCTCTCATGTCTACATCTTGACTTCCAGCAGCTTCTCGACTGGACCCAGCGACGGTGGGCTGGGTTTGTCTATAGTCGAGTTGCATGGCGCTCAAGGGTCGGTTGGGCGCTTCCTGAAGGACTCGCTGTTGAAGAGAGAGTGGACGGTCGTAAAGAACATCTTCCGGAGGAGAGAAGGACCACACCTTAGTAATCTTGGTTAGCAACGACAACAACCCAAAATTTCCGAAAGAACGACAGCTTACCTCCATGACGGTACGGTTTTGTCGCAAAGCTAGAGCAACACACTTCTCATCCTCAAAAGCCACCCTCCAGACTGCCTCTCCTTGAGCAATGAGCTCTCTGACCAGGTGACCTGTTTTCAGATCCCAGATCTTGACCCGGCCGTCACTTCCACCACTGACGACCCTCGTATCATCAAACTGCAGGCTGGTCACGCTGTTATCGTGAGCCGCAAGCCGATGAATGGGGCACATCTTCTCCAGTGACCAAACTCGCACTGAGCCATCTGAGCCGCCTGTAACGAGGGTGTCTCCACGCATCTGCAACTGACCCACGAGGGAGGTGTGACCTTGCAGGATAGCCAGGCATTCACTGAAATTGGTTAGCATGCCAAAACAGAACAAAAACCTGTGAAATCCAGTGCACTTACGCTGTCCTTGGATCCCAGATGCGGACATTGGTGTCGAGACTGCCAGTGACAACTCTCTTGCCGTCAAAAGCAATGGCGTAGATCTGACTGAAGTGACCTTGGAGCGTCTGGATGCACCTGCCCTCGGATATGCTCCAGACCTTCGCCATGGTGTCGTAGCTGCCTGATACGACGATGTCTCCCTTGATCTCGAGGCATCGAACACTAGCGCCGTGGCCGACAAGAACGTTTCTGCATAAACCGGTGCGAATATCCCATACTCGAAGCGTCGTATCGCGCGAGCCCGAAATCGCCGTGTTTGCATCAGACATCTTCAGACATCGAACCGTTGATGTATGTCCACGGAGCGTGTGGAGGCAAGCACTGGCAAAGTTAGTATATCTAGAGCTGCTGTACCATTTGAGGTCAACATACCCTGTAGCTAAGTTCCATACTCGCACGTCACGATCACAGCCACCACTGACGAGAATGTCATCCCAAGGAACCATCGCCCAAACACCCATGACATGGCCCTGTAACGTGCGTTGCTGGTTGCCCTTGGTATCAAAAACGTGGATCTTGGCATTATCAAGGGCCACGATAATGTACTTGGGTGTCAAGTGCAAGCTCGTAACAACACCACCTTCCTGAGTGATGTTCCTGGTGGTGGAAGTGCCACCGGATCTCCAGGCGGCCTCGACGAGATATCGCTGCTTGAAGTGCGATTTATAAGACCTCATCTTGGGTCTTGAATTGCCGGTTCCATCAAGACTACGGGATCCAGAAGCGTGAGCCGTCATAGGCAACGCACCCGGGAAACTGCTGCTGGCGTAGTCGTCTCCCCATAGAGGCTGAGCACCAGGTCGAGATCCGCTGCCCATCGATGAAGCAACTTCAGAGAGGCGTCTGCCGTAGTCGTGCTTAACACAAAGGTTCTTCCACGTCATGTCATCACTCAACAAGTCTCTCCATCTCCGGGATACTTGCGAGGCACGAGCCAAGACCTTGGGGTCATCTATGAAGGAGAGAATCTTGAGTAGATTAAGTCAGCAAAGCGAACCAATTGGGGATTTGGGACTTTCTTACGCGTAAACACAGCTCATCTGGAAGGCTCGTGAATGGATCCTTCTTGAGAAGAGGGCTGACGAACTGGTGAACGAAGCTCAGCTGTTGACTTGTGCACATGTTCAGAAGATCGGCCAGGAGGCGAGTACGGTGAGGACCGCCAGAGTTCTTGAAGTGATGGCGCACTTTGGCAAGAAAGAAATCTTCGTCATCGGCGGCATCGCTCCAGTCGAGTTGATGATGTGAGGGGCCTGGCGAGGCAGCTGGTGTGGGCGGGGGAGGTGGCGAGCCCGTCAACTGCTGGTCGAAGTCTGCAGCAGGAGTAGTCATGCTGGGTGTGGGCGGTCCTCTAATGTGTCCCGGCCTTTGAGGCATCTTCTCGAGTCTGGTGCTGCTGGAACTGGATCCAGTGTTGAGCGTCATGTCGTCGCTGAGCATGCTCCCCCTTCTCTCGGAGAAACTCAGTGGTCTATTGTTGTAGCCTGCCATGATGATTTGTGTTATGAAGCAATCGTACTTGAAATTATCGTCGACTGAGAGAGTATTCGTAGGTGAATGAGACTTCGCCGAGAGAAGTTCCCTTGATGCGGTCGTCGAACGTAGGTGGACTCGGAGGCCGTTTCGTAGTACGCGGAGTCGTTACCGAGGGTTCATTTATAATCGAAAATCCAGTGGACTCTAAATGACCAGGTCGGCGCGACAGCTCAGATGGGAAAGAAGAGAAGAAAAAAGTCCTGGTCAGTGTGAATTCAACGCAATATCCGCCGAGTCTGTCGAGGCGAGGACTGTACGACGGTACGAGGGGGTGATGGCAAATCGTTTGCACGTTGGAAATCAATGCGCAAGTCTCACGGGCTCGAGCGACTCGGATGACGGCAATGACTCGGTTGGGCGACGATATTTGGTATTGCGTGCGAATGCGTATGGGCAAGGCGGTGGGATGTCTCCCATGGGGGAGTGGCGGCGTCGGGTGGGAAAAGTTGAAGGTGGTCGATTCCTGGATCGGAAGTCGACTTGGAACGACGGGAGGTTCTATTTGGCGGTGCCGCAGCGGTGGTGAATAGCGTGCGTGCTGTATGTGTACGGAGTATGGGGCCAGCGGGAGACGGGAAGCTTAACAATCGGAGGTGTCAAGCGGAAAGCGTGGGTCGTCTTGGACCTTGTAGTGGAATGCTCCAGGGCGACTCAATAGAAAGTGGATTGTTTGGTGGTATCGGAGGATTTCGCTTGATTGACGCCCAAATGCCTTTTGCAGCTCCCTGCAATGTAATGTCTCTCGCCTTTTTTTGGTGGTTGTCGTTGTAGGGAGCGATGGTAAAGATGGGTAGGAGGGGGGAAGAAAGAGAGGAGAAGGGATGGGATTGGATTGGAGAGGAGAAATCCAGCTGCAAAGTGTTTGTAGGCCGGGATTGGGGATCTTGGGGAAGAGGGAGTGAAGGAGGAGAGGGGGACGAGATAGGCCCGGGCACTTTGAGGTAAGACAGACTGACTCTGAGCACGTCTACTCCGTACGCCTCTGCGAGAGAGAGAGAGAGTGTGGATGGGTGTGGGAGGGAGGGATGGGTGTGTGTTCCGGACAGGGAAGGCAAGATGAAGGAAATGGGTGAAAGAAGTTGGAACTTGGAGACCGTGACGAGCAAGACCAAGAAAAGGCAGAGCTGGTGCAATCGGAAGGAGAGATCGAGAGAAAGTCAAGACTCAAGACGCAGAGCCAAGTTGAAAGGCACGGTACCTGGCTATGGGCAGGTAATAAACCAAGCTGGAAGCAATGTGACGGTGGAACGCACCTGAGAGGCGAAGGTGAAGGTGAAGGCGAAGGCGGAGGCGGTGGGTGGCCCTGGTTTTCGGGGGAAGGAAAGGATGGAGGATGCAGAGAGGACGGGACGGGAAGGGCAAGGGGGGCGCGACGGGACCGCGCTAGGAGCAGGTGCGCCGAAGAAGGCCTGGGCTCGAGACGATGTGGGTAGAAAAAAAGGTAGGGTAGGTACGCAGGTACGAGGTACAGCGCCTTCCACGGTTGTAAAGAGCATTTTGGGGAGGGATTGGAAGGAGCAGACCGCGGGACCAAGTGCAAGTGCCAGTGCCACCCAGGTCACGGTGCATTCGTCTTTCTTTGTCTTCTTTCACCACTTGGATACAACATGGTAAACCCAAAGTTACAGCCTACTCTGTATACGGACCTGAGTGACGGGTTACTACTTGACCATCTTGATTTGGTAGGTGGCACATAATGGACCCGGCATGCCAACCGCGAGAGAGCGAGACACACAGAGACACCCTATGGACGGAAGAGGGAGAGAAGAAGGGGCGGCGAAGAATGGATGGAAGGTGCATTGAAATTGATTGATCTTGTCGCAGCCAGTCCTCACTGCCCGGGTAAGTAGGTACCTCACCTTACTTTACCTACCTACCTGTACCTTACCTAGGTACTCTACACCCGACCAGGGTACAAAGAGCTCTCGTCTTTTCGTACAAGACAAGTAAGTCCAACAACACTCTTTTCGACTTGACGTATACCTAGGTAGGTAATCAAGCAAGCCTCTAAGATAGACGAGAGGGGAGGGAAACGTCGTCTCATGTTGAATCACCTACACAAAGACAATGCCTACTTAATCTCACACCGCTTCCTTTCTTGCACCAACACGACTACCGTCAATATGGATTTCTTTCTCTTCAGCTACCGACGCAGGCTCAAGCTCAGGCTCAGGCTCATGATTCCCAAACAAAACAGATTTTTATTCTGGGTCTTTCTCTAGCGCTGTTTCGTTCCGTGCTCTCCTTCTCTAAACTGACACCAACCCTCCTTTACAGCTCTGACACTTGACACTCGAGAGCCGGCCTGGTAATCTACCCAAAGCGCACATCGTCTACGGAGGCACACCACCCCGGCACACCTTGTCCATGTACTACTACGAATAAGCTACGGACACGCACACACACGCACACAACACTTTCGCCCACCAGCGAAACCACTGCCAGCTACACGAACGCCCACGCTCGCTGTCTTGCATAGGAACATCCAACATCGGCCGCTCGTCTTAGACCACCTAGATATTGACATTTGGGGCAAGCCTGTCATCACTTTTGTTACCTCCGGCTTTGGAATGACAGCCTTCAACGGGCTCTGAAAACGCTCTACAAACGAACAAGTAATGACGGTGTGGGCAGTCTCGGCAACTATCAACTTTCTCTCGTGGGCCTTGGCGGTTGGCTTGCCGATTCTGTCAACCCGTTATGGCCACGCAAGAGCTCGAATGCGGTCGGAAGGAAGTCCACAAACTCATTCTTCAACACTGGTCGCGATCGGGCATTTAGACGCTGTCACTACTTCCCCGACTTTCAAAGACCATCATTGCCCGTACATACCTACGCATGACTGACTTTCGGGTCTATTGTCTTTTACAGGCTAACCAAGACCAGCTGACAGAGAGAGTCAAGAGCACGTCTCACATTCTTTGGAGTCGCCGCAAACAATAAACCACATCTCTCTGCCCTCCGGGGTGGCCTGCAGGGTCCGAGTTAGCGGCGCTTACATGCCACCAACTAGTGCCCACCTCGTCTGCACTTGGGAGGCACCGTAGTGGGTATTCGTGACGTCGATCGGTTCTTTCATGTCAAAGTTGCGAACGAGTCTGTCTTCACTCTACAGGCCCGAGTCGCCCAGCGCACTCACTTATTGGCTTGCCAGGTACTCCGTACCCTCTGCTCTTTCAAGTTCCCACACCTCTCTCTCAACTTGGGATGGGGAAAGCGCAATGGCGCAATGGAGGAGTTACGGAGTCTGGCGTGTAAGCTGAAAAATGACTTCGCTGCGTCTCTCCCCGGTCTTGGAGGGCAGCCACAGCCGCCCTCCCATCTCTGAACCCTGAGAGTCGGCACTATTGTCTGGGATGTTGTCTTCCAAGGTCTTGCAGGAATAGCCAATTTCGCATATTCAGTGTTTCTTTGCAACTATCGACTCATAAATCCGCCCAGGTTCCACCGCAGCCATGCGCATGCGACGGCGCTCTGGCCTATGGATAAGTGCTTTTTCGATTGGAAAAGAGACGACTTTTGACCCTTTCTCTGCTCATTGTCGAACCCAATGACACAACAACACTACGAATACGGACACAACAACTCGTTCACGTTCGCGGACGGAGACTAGGCAGTTCGTTGCGACAGCGCACGGGACACGGTTGACTTGCCAGCAAGAGAACCCGCTAAACCATCTACCTGTAAGGGAGCGGCCCTATTGTTGGTCCCGCGTTCCTCAAGTCTATCTCTCGATCCGACTAGCATGGTTGCGATACAATCAATACTGGGAACTTTTACCTCCATATGTCCCATGGGGCCGAAAAGCAAATCTGCATCTGAACTGTCCGCTGACTGCGACCGAGAAAAGTTGCAAGAAGGAGTTGGCCAATTGTGGGCAGCAACTGCGCAGGCGGCAGCAATAGTCTCTCCTCTCTACGCTGTAGAGGGCCATCCATTTGCGACACTGGCGGCTCAGATGCTTCAGATTTACCTCAACGTTACAGCGAAGGGGTGCAGTTATCCTCTTGCGCTCGGGCCCACTGGGGTTCACTCTCTCGAAACTCAAGTCCTCCTTGCTTCTCAAACATCGGATTGTTCAATAATGGGAGGACAGGCAATGTCAGCTTACTCATGGGATGATCTGGGCCTGAAGAAACGAACAACAAACCAGAGATGCGTAGTGATCCAAATGCAGCGTTCAGCCTTGCAGATCTTTTCCTCGACGTTGACGCTGCGGACACCTCTCCTTCTCTCAACCCCGACTCGTCCTACTACACAGGAACCTTGACCAGTACGGATATTATTTGCTTCTTTCCGCCGCTGAGGGTTCTCCGCGCCCTGGCTCGGACAAGGACAAGCGAATGCGATGCCAAGGACCGTCAATCCTTTTGAGCCAACCCGGTGGCCAAGAGGCGGCGCCATGAGCGCCTTGCTGGAGCCAAGGTCGTCGTACGAACTTGAAACACCCCGACCAGAAACCTAGCTCAACTTTGGACGCTCGGTCGACAAGGGCTTCCCTGGCGCCCGTCGAGCCGGCCCCTCCCATCCTCGCGCCAGCGATACCTAGCATTAGCAATAAAATAGCACACCTAGGCCGCGCTCCTCGGCCCCGATCAATGGACCAACGGGTCAGTTCGAAAGGTTCAAATTGGTCCCGAGCCACTCGACTCGGAACTGCAGCTTCTGGAACGCGTCGAAGCGAAATTTTGAGACTGCCATGCGTTCTATGGGGATTCGAAGGCGCTTCTGGCCGATCTAATTGTACAGGTTCCTAAAATACATCATCTGGACTTATTTCCTTCCAGATTCAGAGACGAACTCAAAAGTTATAGAATTCTACACAATCATCATCGTCATGTATCAGAAGGCCCTAGCCCTATTGGTGCCACGATTTACTCGTACAACAGGTCCCGACATTACGCCTTTTTTCTTCCTTTTTCGAGATACAAGGAATCTTTGTCAATCGCAGAGGCAATCGTTCAGTGGTGATGTCCAAACTGGGTAAGAAGCGGCAGGAGCATGCCAGCAACTGTCGCAAAAGTATCACGCATCTGCGGCCGCTGCTGGCCTCTTTGTGTGCCATTCCCGTCAGAATAGCCGTTCATGCCGCCGTGTTCGTGCTTAGGAGAACTGCCGTCTTCCTGCATGGCATGCATCGCAACAAACCTGGCAAGTCATCAGTAGCTATTCACGCTTCAACCGTGTTCTGTCGTCCAAACTTACAGAAACGTTCCTGCTGAGAAGAGCAGAAGCATACCCGTCCACCACTGACCAGACTCTCCCTCAAAATTTCCACCGCCCAAGATTCGGATGATGGCCCAGGTACTAAGAGCTCCGAAAGGGGCGGCGAGGCTGAAGACGATGAGATGTCCTCGCGCCGTTCGTTTGGACAAACCCTGCTTCAGAAGCACCGACGTCAGACCAAATGCTGCTGGCGCCTTGTGGACCATAATGGCGACGAATATTATAAGTCCCAACTTGGTGTTTGACGTGGACGTGGACGCGCCCATTGCAATGCCGTCCGCTGCGGCATGGATCACCAGACCGATGGTAGTTGCTAGACTTCGAGATTGCTTTGGTGGAGGCGCAAGAGACCCGAGGAAGCCTTCCGTTTCCTCGTCGCCAACGCTCGATGAACCGCCAAGGTTATCCAAGCTGACGTGACGCATCTGAGGCTCCGATCCGCTGCCGCCTGCTGCGTGGCGGGGCAGCCTGTCGATGAGATACATGAGGACGAAGCCGAGGATCATGGACAGGCCGATGTAGAAGGTCGGCACCTCGTTCTCGTGCTTCGGCTCGTCGTGATGAGGTTCGGGGCCGGGGGCGGCTGCCGGGGGCTGCTCGTGGCCATGTTCGTCCTGCTCCTCCCGACTGTGCAGCTTTACAGTGTATTCCGCATCACGGCCAATGTCATGAAACTCTTCCTCAACAGTCCGCGCAGATTTGGTAGTATCTACCAACTGAGGCACATCTCCTGCGTCTGTCACCCATCGAATAGCGGGCCTCCCTTGCTTTCCAGCCCCATCCACCAAGCTCCTCTTGCTGTGCGAGTGCCCGCCGGTGGTTGTGACAGCTTCGATGCCTTCGGGTATGATCACAATCATAGATGTCCCGACCAATATACCAACTCCCACGCTCGATATCAATCGAAGTTGCGACTGTGTGAGGGTTATCGCGAGTGGTAGTGAGCCGGCGAAGAAGGACCTGGGAAATCGCGGGATACGTCGTCAGTTTTACGGAGGTTTCGGAAGGCTGGGGGGCAAGCATCGCCTGTGCAACCTACGCCAAGGCCATGACCGTCTATCGCGAAGATGATTTGTTAGCTTTCTATCATGCATAGCCTTCTAAAGTCTACCGCCTGGCTGGGAGCTGAAGCTACCCGACGACAAGGCAGGTAAGGTTGGTGTAAGAGAATAAGGGTACGTACGCTCAGCAAGAGCAGCAACAGTAGTCCTCCCATACTGGGGTAGAGAGCGTCGATCCGACTGCGATTCGGCGTATGCGTAAATTGGAGAGGGACGGTTGAGAGGGAAGAGCAAGAAGAGAGAGTGGAAGAGGGTTGGTCGAGGCTTTGTTGGATCACGCCAGCATGTCTGAAGTCCCTCAATTGTCGACGGCAGCTCTGGCGCGGTTGGCTGAGGTGGGAAATCGGCAGATGGCCAAAAAGATTGAGCTGCTGGAACTTCTGCCCTCGACTCTTTTTTTGCCCTTTCTCTCTCTTTAGGTTTAAATTTGAGAGCTAGGAGTGCACAGGGAGAATTATCGTCGAGGTTGGGGGAGCTGAGCTGGCTCCCAATGGAAGGCGCACCTACCAGGACAGCGGGCGCAACATCATTGGTCGCTAGACATTTCCATTGGCATTTCCAAGGTTCCTTGCTTGCTCGCTTTCTGTGATACCCCTTGATGCCCTTGAACCTCCCCTCTATTACTGCGTAGGTACCTAGGCTCTAGGCCCCACCCCTTCTGGGCCTTGTCACCCCATGTCGTAATCCTGTGGGTCCTTCCCGTGGCTGCTTCCTGCTGCTTGCTGCTTGCTCCTTCTGCGGCTGCTGCGAGGATAGACCAGAGCTAAGGCATTTTAGGTACTAGCGCCCTTCGAATCGATTGATCCAAGAGGGCTCGACTGTCTTGAACCACTCAATCCAACTGCAGCGGGGCTCAATTAACTTAGAGGCGCGTCTCGTCGCGACACTGCTTTAGACTGCGCGTTTCCCCCGAGGCTGATTTCGTCGCAAAAAAAGAAGCTCTCGATCGACCTTCGACGTCAACCTCGACAAACAAACAAAACCTCGAGCGCCTTTTACTGTAACCGCGAGACGACGAATTATCCATCGCAATACTGCCTTATTCGCACAAGAACGCCGCAGAATACTCACAATATCGTCTTTCCCACCACACCTCTATCGATACCATGGCTGAGACTGACGAGTGTATGAATCTCAACTTCCTCGTATCCCATCGTCGCAACGATCGCTGACATGCTGCATAGGGTCGGCCAACGCCACTGAATCGCTGAACATCAGCTTGATCGCACCTGCTACCGGAGCCACGAAGACGATTGCCACATTCAACCCCAAGTTTACGTACTCCATCTTCGGCGATGATGAGCGCATCTTTGGATACAAGGATCTCAAGATCAACCTGCGCTACCGCACCTTCGACATGCGCCCCAATGTCCAGATATCCTACGGCAAGAAGTTCCAGTCTGTTGGAGAGACTGAGGCGGCGGACGTTGATGCGACCTTGAAGGAGCACCTGCCGTTGGGTAAGTCACGCTGCTCCAGCGCGAACACAACACTTCGCTAACCGTGAATTCATGGCAGTGGCCTTCCAACCTGCCCGCGAATTCAACACAAGTGCTCAGAGCCAACCCGCCGACTGGACCCCGCCCGGCAGTCTACACTCGAGCTTCGAGGGGCCTGATGGAACGTATGAGGTGTGGAAGGGAAGCCTTGCGGACCCTGCTGTCCGTCAGATCGTCACCCGTGTCGAGATTATGGTTCCAATGTTTATCGAAGGTGGCTCGTATGTCTCTCGCGATCCGGAGAACGAGGAGGACCCGTGGAAGGTCCTCGAAGATGCCAACCGCTGGACTACATTCTTCCTGTACAGGAAGCAAACATGCCCAGAGACCTCCGACAAGCCTTCCTACACCTTTGTCGGCTACTCAACCATTTACAAATTCTTCTGTTTCCGGCCGCCGACGCCGCCGTCATCCGAGTGGGATCTGCCCAAGGAGGACTTCAACTTGCTGGAGGAGCTGCCCTGCCGATCTCGCCTGTCACAGTTCTTGATCTTGCCGCCTTTCCAGGGCAAGGGCATCGGTGCCCGCCTCTACAAGACCATCTTCGAGCACTACTACAACAACCCGCAGACCCTAGAGCTGACTGTGGAGGATCCCAACGAGGCTTTCGATGACATGCGCGATTTGGCTGATATCACCTTCCTGCGGGCGCTGCCAGAGTTCAGCAAGGTGAAGATCAACACGAGCATTGCTATCCCCAGCCCTCCCAGCGGCACCGTACCCAAGGATCTAGTGGACCAGGAGCTTCTCAGAGACCTCCGTCAAAAGACCAAGATCGTCGAGCGTCAGTTCAAGCGCCTGATTGAGATTCAGACAATGTCACAGCTTCCCGAGTCTGTCCGGGTAGGATTCGGCGACGAGAAGAAGCCGACGCCTACCAAGCAGGACAAGCATCAGTACCGTCTGTGGCAGCTGTTTGTGAAGCAGCGTCTGTACAGGCAGAACGCCGATGTGCTGGGTCAACTGGACCAGTCAGAGCGCTCAGAGAAGCTCAACGAGGCATTGGTCAGCGTCGAGCTCGAATACGCCAGAATTCTTGACTGGCACGCTCGCTGGGTGAAGAACATGGCTGCCTCCTCCGCCGAGGACACCGGCAGCAAGCGCAAGTCTGTGGACGACGGTGAGGAGCAGGGTGCGGCCAAGAAGGTCAGAGTTGAGAGCGCCTAGCGTGCTGCATCTCTCCCGTTGAGGCCCAAAAGGACGTGAGGATGGTTCGGTTGGGATATGGAGTTCATGGGTGGTCTTGGAGTGTATTTACTATCTCTTTGCAATTCTGCGCGCTGGCTACGGCGGCTACGGCCCGGGTTGATACCACATAAGAAGGCCACGGCCAGCTTCACAATACAATGGAACGTGATTGGCAATGTCTTGTTTTTGATTCCTGTCTAATTCTAAAACTTTTGATAATGCACGTTCTCAACGCCGTCCTAATTTCGAAAATGACAACAGTGACAATAATGAACCCTGTCCTAAACTCCATGTTACCACGAAATCACTAAAAACGCGTAAACTTTTCTCTTCCTGCTCCCTGTTTCTTTTCTATTTCCTTCACGAGTTGACCTCGGCAAACCAGGTCCTCAACAACCCAGCCAATGCGCCGGGGAGGTCCTCGAGGTTGTGCACAATCAAGTAGTACTGGAAGGGGAAGGTATCGAGATACCTCTCAATCACGACGCGGCTCGCGCCGTGCTCGTCCTTGACGAATTTCGCCTCCTTGAGGTCCAACACACTGTCGCCCTTCTTGTTGCCCGTTTCGTCCATGACGATGAAGACGACCATGATGCGCTCCTCCATGGCCTCGCGGAGCAGGCGGCGGATGGGCTCGTGCTGGTTCGACGGCGTCAGGCCGTCCGAGAGGATGAGCGCCAGCTGCCAGAGGTCCTCTGCGCCGCCGCCGCGCGACGGGTTCTGCAGGCGCGCGGCGCGGAAGTGGTCGATTGTCCGGCGGACCAGGAGGGCGATGTCGGTGCGGTCCTGTTTGAAGTGGAAGTGCTGCAGGACTTTTGCGCCGGCGTCGTGGGAGGCAAAGGGGGAGGCGAAGTCGTGCGCTAAGAACGTGTCTGCGCCGAAGCCGAGGACGCCGACTTGGCCTACTTCGAGCATCGTCAGGGCGCGGGAGACCATGACGAGGGACTCGAGGGCGAGGTTTCCGGAGGAGGACTCGCCCATGCTGCGGGAGTCGTCGACGGCGAGGAGGATCTGGTAGGAGCGTTTGGTGGGCACGGCGCGGCGCATCCAGATCTTGTCGCGCTTGTAGGAGGAGGCGATGTAGGGGATGATCTTTTTGATGTTGAGGCGTTTGCCGGTGCGGTAGGAACCCGAGAGCTTGGTGGACTGGGACGGGGTGAGGATGAGGCGGAGCTGGGAGGTGAGGGAGAGGGAGAGCGGGTGGGTTTTGGTCTGGAAGGTCGTCCAGGACTGCAGGGCTTCGGAGAAGTCGCCGAGGGGTAGGGTGTTGTCGTCCTCGCTGATGTGCGTCGTCGAGAGCTGCGTCGACGTCTCTTCGATGGCTTGCTCCTCCTCCTCCTCGTCACCGCCTCTGGGGACCTCGTCTTCCTCGGGCGACGGCTCGCGGTCAAAGTTGCCCTGTCGCGTTTTAACGCCCGAACGGCCGTCGTCCTTGTCGGCGCCGCTGTCCTTGTCCTGCGCCTCGGGGGCCTCATCCGCCTCGGTGTCCATCTTGTCTGCGGTGTCCTGCTCCATCTCCACGTCCTGGTCCTCGGGCATCACGCGGCTCTGCGGGTCCTCCTTTTCCTCGTCAATGGCCATGGCCTCGTCAATCGGCTGCACCTGGTCCTCGGATGCGGATCCCATGGCCTGCGCGTCGACGGCGGTCTCGTCATCCTCGAGGTGCTGGAACTCGCGGGCGCCGAGGTCCGCGCTGGTATCCTGCGGCTGCTTCTTCTCGCCGTCCTCTTTGCCGTCCTGCTTCTCGGGATCCTTGATGTCGTTCTGCTGGCGATGCCAGCGCTCCAGAGCATCGCCGAGCTTCTTGAAGGGATCCTGGCGGCTCTTCTCCTCGGCCGAGTCGTCCTGGTCCTGATCGGTCGGCTGCGCCTGGTCGTCGGACCGGGAGAGCTGGCCCTTCTTTCCGGCGCTTGTCTGCTGCTCTGCGGAACCTTCACCCGCGTCGCCGTCGTCGCGCTGGGCGGCGTTGTTATTGAAGTCATTTTCGACGTCCATCTGGTCGACGTCTTGGTCCTGGCCACCGCCCTTGACGTCGCTCGGCGCAGCGTTGGCGTCAGTGTTGGCGTTGTCCTTGGGCGGCTCCGCGAGGGCATCGGGCTGCTCTTGCTCGGCGGTCTCTTCTTCCTCTTCCTCCGCCTTGGGCTCCATGTCGAGCTCGGGTTCGCCCGCGAGGTCTTCCTCGGGCGCTTCCTCCTCCTTGCCGTCCTCATCTTCCTCCTCAGGGCCCTTCTCATCGGGTCGCTGGGTTTCCTCTTCTCCATCCTCAATGTCGGATTCATGCTGCTCCTTGGCATCTTCCTTTTCAACGTCGGACAACTTGTCAAGCTCATCCTCCTCGGAGCCGGCATCTTCGCCTTCCTCCTCAAAGTCGAAGTCCATCTCCTCAGGCATCTCCAGAGCATCGTTCTCCTCGACGTTCTGGTCCTGCTTGACTTGGTCGTCTTCGAACTTGGCGTCCTCTTGCTCCGGACCAGGCTCTTCGTCCTCCGCCTCCTCGTCGTCATCCTGGTTCATCTTGTTGTCATCCTCGGCGTCATTCTCATCAGCATTGGCGTCAGCATCGGCGGCCATCTGCTCGTCCTTCTTCTGACCCTTAGCCTTCTCGCCCTGCTGGTCTTTCTCTGCTTCTTCTTCATTGTCTCCATCCCACATCTTTTCGTCGACGGCAGTCGGATCAAAGTCATCAACATCGCCCACCTCTTCCTCCATCTCATCCTTTTCACCATCTTCGCCTTCTCCGTCGGACTTGTCTTCCTCATCATCTCCATTGACACTGCCCATTTCTCCTTCCATCTCCTCATCCGCCATGTCAACTGCATCCTTTTCGTCCTCCATCTCTCCATCCTTCTCCTTGTTGGGTTCTTGAGCGAGTTCGGTGAGGTCCTCATCAGGCTGAATGTCTTTGCTAATGTCCTCTGCACCGTCTCCGTCTCCAAGACCCGTTCCAGATTCCATCTTTCCAGAGTCCCCAGACTGCTCGTCTGACTTTTCTTGAGGGGAGCAGAAGCCCTTGGCGGCAAGCTGAGTAAAGGTCTGCGCCAGGTTGAATGTCATGTAGCCTGTCGCCGCTTGCAGGCTCTGAAGCTGAGACAGGCTCTGGTGACAGGCGAGGGCGTACTGCTGGAGAATCGGGAGCACAATGGAGAAGAGTGACGAGGCGACTGCGCCCATCTGGTCCTTGTCCAAGTCGACAACCTCCAAGGCGGAAAAACAATCCTCGACCTTGGCTACGATTGCGTTGATGTGGAGTGCACTTAGTCCAGAGCTGCGGACAGTGGATGTCTTTGCCAGCCAGCCTGCATCGTCGGACGAGCTGGGCAGATCAGCCATGGCCTTCTTGTATCCTTGAACCGCGACCAGGACGGCATCACACAGACTGGAAATTGCATGCTTGAATTTCTGTGCGGTGGCATCGAGGGCCGGCAATTGGCGAGCATGGCCATTTGGAACGTAAATCCATCCTTTGACCTGCTCCAAGATGAAGTCAAGATCGCGGCGACTAGCTGGAAGCTCGCCATACAAGGTCTTCGCCACAGAATCGTATCTTGTCTGCATATCGGCGTGCGATTCGTTGCTGAACTTGCCGTGCTTTGAAGCAGATGTAGACCAGCTCTCCGACAGGGTCTCGAACTCCTGCAGCGCAGTACGCAGGCCGTTGGAAATGGGTTGGTTGTCGACCGATGCCAACTTTCCGTGAATGTCCACAATCTTGATAGCAAAGTCCAAGATTGGTTTCATCCAGCTCGTAGAGAGGCCTGCGGGCTGACGATTGATATCGTGCTTGATGGTCGTGCCCTTCAAGCTTTCAACGGTGGCAATGGCGCGGTCGAGTGAGGCAACTGCGCTACGAGCAGAAGACAGAGAGCTGTGTTGGCCCAGTAAGACGGCCATCATACCCTCCATAAAACCGGTGCTTCGTTGCATCTCGGCACCGGTGAGATCGCCCGAGTATTCGTGGATCGAGGCTCTGACCTTGGGCGCAATATCGACAACTTTGTGGAAGTAGTACTCGGCGGCGTCGTCGGTGCTGCCCTCCCGCACAGCGGAGGCGGGCGAGCCAGCCAACACAATGGCGGCAGACTCTTGTCGGGCCAGCTCGTCGGTTCCAAGGTTGTATCGGAAGCCCATCTGCCTCATCATCTTGAGGACGTCGGCAAAGAGGTTGCGCTTACGTGTCTTGAGGTGCTTGACCTGGTCCTTGGTCTCATCGGTCAAGGTGCTAGGTGTCTCCTTACGCAGCTCAGAAATGGAGGTGTTGAGCTCCTTGACGTACGAGATGATCTCCTGGGTGGCGTCGAGGGGGCTCTGGTTCGCCTGGACAGAAACGTTGGCCATGATGGACAGCGTCTTTGAGGCGTTCGAGAGACGCTTGTGTTGAGTAAGCCAGCCTGGCAAGCCTTGATCGCAGGTCTTGATGGCTGCGGGATCGACCTTGATGTCAATCGCGTCCACGGCCACTGCATCCTGGGGAATGGGGACATCCTCGTCGGGGATACCTTGGTCCAGGATAGGCTTCATCGGCTGTCCGAGAAGGGTGCGGAATTTACGAACAAGACGGAAGAGCTTCAAGTGAGATTTGCGTGCGCTCTCACGCAAAGCGTTGATGTTCGTGTCCTTCCAGCTGGCCAACAGTACGACCTCCTTCATAGTCTTCTCGAACGGCGCCCGTCCCTTTACAATTGTCTGGTGAACGATCTTCTCAAAGCGGGAGTAGAAACCAATGAAGTTGATGGCCGCGTCAGAGACCACTGCCAAGGAAGGGTAGTCGACCGTGAGCAGCTCGAGGTGCTTTTGCAGCTGTCTCAGGAGTCTAAGGCGGGCAGAGAACTGTCCAATGATTGCGGTTGAGAAGTACGTTTCGAGCTCTCTGACGAGATTGACCGCGTAGTCCTTGAGTTCGGGGGAGTCGACAAGAGACAGAGGCGTGGCAATAAGGACCTGGTAGGCGACGAAGAACCACGAGTCGGCGTCTTCTGTGCACTTCTGGGCTTCCATGTCGAAGAGCTTCGCCCACGTCGAGAGCTCCAGGCGTCTCCAGCTGATGATGGTATCCGTCAGCGATGTGTAGAGAGCAGGGGCTCCGTAGATGGCGGGAGCGTAGCCTCCGTGCTGCCACTCGTAGACGATGCCGTGCAGGTGCTCCAGCTTGGGGAGGATCTTGGCCAGGGGCTCTGAGTGAGTAAGCTGGAGGAGTTGGTCGCAAGCTGCGCGCACATCTGCCAAAGGCTGCATGTGACCGATCTCATCGACTTGTTGGAGATCCCGGAAGCGAGCCTCTACCTTGTCGACGAGCGCAATCAGGCGACGAACCTCGGGCAGGTTGGCGTGGGTGTAAAAGTTGTACGTAGCGCTCACCCCGTTCGCGGTGAGCGTGCTCATTTGCTCGTCAATGGACCAGAGAGTCAGGGGAAGAAGACGACGCGTCATGTTCGGCAGGACAGCGTACTTGTCCTTGTTATCCGCCGCAACGCTGTTTCCAACCTTCTTGCAGACGTTCGTCAATGCTTCGGAAGGGGTGAGTTGCTCCAGGAAGACCTTGCGATGAGATTCTGCCAGACGGACTGACACATCGCGAACCTTCTGGTGGCCAATGGCGGGCTTCTCTTCTTCTTCCTGATCATACGTGGGGAACAGCTCATTGAACTCTTCCTCGTCGACCTCCTCCTCGTCCTCCCAGCTTCCCTTGTGCCGGTAAAGGTTTGTTCTGGCCTCCTCGGCTTTGCGGTCTTCTTCGAGTTTCTTGACCCATTCTTGGTAAAACCTGTGGACGCATTCAAAGAGCGCTTCGCGGATACCACCGCTCAACTTTGACAAGCCCTCGACTGATGCGATCAGACCAATGTAGTCGAGGAACTCCAAGCTCTTGTTCGGCATCTTTTTGAGCCCGTGGTGGTACGGCAGGCCGCCAGTGAAAGGCGTGAGGTGCATGAGGTTTTCCTCCGGGTTCAAAGATCCCTTTTGCTCTCTCAAGGTGATAAGTCCTGTACTCAACGAAAGACCGACCTGGATACAGCCGAGAAGATTGACGAGAGGACGAGTCATATCTTGGTAGGCATGGAATCGATTGGCAAGGCGGTCGATCATCAGAGCTAGGTTCTGCTTAAGGAGACCAATTTCCGGCGCTGGGTCACGACCAGGTGGCAAGTAGACGAGTCCGGTGTGCGTGTTGTAGAGATCTTGATCTCTAACCATTTTCAGGACGTTGTTGAAGTCTGTCTGAACATAGTTGAGTTCTGATCGAACCGGGCGATACAACAGATGCGCCGGTGCTGGCGCAGGTCCCAGTGCGGTCACTTCCTCTTGCGCAAGCTGGATGCGAAGAGAGGTCTGCTGTCCAGTGAATTGGGTTTCAAAATCCAACAAAGATGAGAGCTTATGCTGCAGCTGGTTGGTCAACTCATCATGGACGTCCTTTTCGAACTGCGGTCGGAGTTGCGGGTCGAAAGATTTGTCGGGCACGTAGAGCCTGATGGCGCCGTTGGCAAATTCGGACCATGACATGGCAGTAAACGCGGGCATCATGAAGGCCTCATCGGTCTCGGTCTCATCTGGGTTTGCAAACAACCTGTCAGATGCTACGACGTAAAGCATCGCCGTACTGAAGTGATCCTCGACAAGTCGCGGCAGATGTTGCGGCCATCCGCTGCACTGAAGCGCTTTCCCAAACCCAAGACCCAGGACTTTCCCCACAGTGCCCGAAGTGTCATCCTGTTTGTTGTCCTCGAACATTTGGTTGATTCTGTTGTATAGCGTCTCGTTGTGGACGTCTCCTTCATCGCTATACAGGCTGAAGACATCTGCGATAAGTGACTTGATGACTCTGTTGAGGGCAACGATTTGATTCTTCTGTAGCACCGGAGCCAAGGCGGCCACGGACCGGCCCAAGGCAGGGAGCTCGGTCTCTAGGAGACCTAGGGAACGCAGGCTAGTTGATTGAATCGAGTTGAGTCTTGACAAGAGGGACGTTGCGAGTCTGCCATTCCACACATGAGTGCCCGGGTCTTGGGACGCGAGCTGGCCAACCGTAAGCGAATGCGCTTCTCTAGACTGGAAGCTGCCTAGGCGGATCTGTTCGATGGTATTCTGGTTCGACAAGACCGTAAGTTCAGCGTCGTTGGCGCCGTAGGGCACAGCTTCCAGGTATTGGCCGGCATGAGATTTCAAGAGGGAAGCCTGGCGGAGGGTCTCGAACTCTGCTGCGAAGAACGGTTTCACTTCGCTGGTCTCAGAGCCGACCTTGGCTTCCAAAAGTTCAATCTCCTTGGAGAGGTCCTGGATAAGCTCGGTGGCGTCGAGATCAGTGCCTCGCACAATCTGATCCGCCTTGACGAGGGTTGACATGGCTCTGGCGAGGTCAGAGACGGATGCCTTGACCTTCCATTTGAGCTCGTCAAGTCGAATGCCCAGACGCTCAATCTCTTGACTTCTCTTGAGGGTCTCTTCGCTCATGATGGGGAGCGGCTTGATGCGCTTCCACATGACCTCCATGCTCAAGCCAGTGGTCAGGCGGAAGCCAGTGGTGAAGTCTTCTTCAACAGTCTGAAGGTAGCGATCGGCAAGCTGCTTGTTGATGGGTTGTGTTTCTGATGAAAGAAGCTTCTGCACGGCCTCAACACCATGGACCAAATGAGCTTGGAAGCGTGCTTCCTCAAACAAGTCTCCGGTTGTCAGGTGGAAGGTTCGCCACCAGAAGTCCAGCATGTTCCGGATTACTTGGGCGCGTTCCTTCCAGCCTTGGGCTGTCGCGAGGTTGGACTGGATGAAGGTCTTGATGACCTGGAGAGTTCTTGACAGGAACTTTGATACCCTAACTGTCGAATCCTTTGCTACTGCTGCGATGCGGTCCGAGACGATGGATCGTTGGAGTCGGTTCAGAGAAGCGAGCTTCACCGCCTTGGCCTTGGTGGCTTGCGCAGAAATGGCAGATTGGCAACGTTGAACCTCCAAGAGAAACTCGTAGCAGACAGACAGCCAGAAAGGCAATTCGTCGTTGTTGCGACCCAAGACTCTTACCATGGAAGCGTTGTGAAGAGGGTTAAGAGGCTGGGCTTCTCTGAGACCCGAGTCGGAGCCAGGCAGTTTGGCATAGAGTTGGGAAATTGCGCCGCGGAAGCTAGCTGTATCGGCAGCATCGAGGAACCCGAGTTGCTCATTGAGTGAACCTTCGTACTTGTCGAGTCCGGGCCAGCTAGGATCAGCCAGGCCACGGCGCAGAGAGTGAGAGAATCTCTCCATGAGGGCTGTGTCTCTTAGCGACAGGTTTCCGAACGTGGCATGGCTGACATCGGAGGATTCGTTCGCATTCAAGGCCGAGAAGGAAATGTCCTTTGAGGAAGAGAATCGTTGCAGGTTGCTTTCCACGTGACCTTGAGACCCGGAGCTGTTGACGGTTTGCGTCTTCCTCTCGCTGAGATGGATCTCAACGGCTCTGTTTCTCATGGCTCTCGAAAGTTCTCCATACCGGGGATCGACAGTGAGGAAGATACGGAACTCTGGGTGCGGCCTGATGATACGAGGCTCGCCGTTAGGTCCGCAGTGCTCGTTGATACTCAAAAAGCCGTTAGGCTCAAGAAGTGAGTTGAGTCTGTCCAGAACGGAGGCGTTGCACAGGTTGGCATTGTCAAGCACCAGCCACTGTCCGGTCTCCAACGCCTTGACAATGACACCATCGAGCCACTCGAAACGGGGGTTGGTGACAGTCAACGAATTCCGCAAAACCGAATGAGCCGTGTAAAGGAGGGCCCCAATATCCGACTCACTCGACACTTCCGCAAGCAGTTGTTCAACTGCACTCCTGATGGCAGGCAGGTCATCGGTGTCACCACGGTAGGTCTCCAAAAGATACAGCAGAGCCAGCGCTGACGACGGAATTTGACTTGGCACTCTGGTCAAGACTGTGGTCTGCAGACCCTCGTAAAGCTCGCGCAAAGTCGCGTTGACTTCGCGAAGAGGGTCTGACTGCTCAAAGCCACCGACCAAGTCCATTGTATCAATGTCAGCATTCAGAGGGAATACAACGAGGGGCTTGCCAACGAGAGCGGCGACATGTTCGAGGAGCACCGACTTTCCGCTACCAGAGGGTCCACTGAGGATGCATGGAATGTCTTGCTTAATGCAGATCATCAGGGACTCAATCTCAGGCAGGCGCGGAACGATATCGATGCCTGGCAGTTCCAATGGTTGAGAAGTCTGGTTTCTGGGCAGGAGTGCATTTCCGACTTGAGAGAAGGCCGCGTTGGTATCGTGGTAGAGACTGTGGCTTTCTGGCTCTCTGGCAAAGACCTCGGCAAAGAGCTTGTTCACCTCATCACGATCCGTGGAAGATCGGAAGCGTTGGCGGATGATGAGGTCCAGGAAGTCATCTGGCTTGCCGGTGGCCAGAAGGGGGTCCTTGGTGGCAACGAGGTGCAACCATCTCAGGATGTCTCTCAAGTTGAACTCCCAGGGGCTGCCGTGCGCGCCAAATGCCTTTTCGATTGCGACTTGGTGGTCCAAGCGAGAAATGAACTGAATGACTCCGCTTACGACATCAGTCGGGATAGTCGGGAAGTTGTGTTGAGCAATAAGCAGGAGGTCTTCCGCTGTGAAGGTGTCGGCGTAAACGACGATGAATCTATTCACAAAGGAGCTGGGAAGACCCTTTCTACCACCTCCCTGGTGATGAGGGTTCTGTGCAGCGAACAACCGGAAGTCAGGATGCCTCCTGAAAACCTGGTCAAGTTCTGAGATGTATACCTCGCCACGATGGTCGAGACAGGCATTGAGACCTTCCAGAACAGACTGAGAGGCCAAATTCATCTCGTCCAGCAACACCCATTCGCCATTCTGCATAGCCTGGAGGAAAGGAGCATCGCGCCAAGCAAAATTGCCAGCTTCGGCGCCCTCGACAGGCATATCCGTGCCAAAGAGATCCATCAGATCGGTCTGGTCTGACAAGTTGATACGAGTCAGGGGACGGCCGCAAACACGAGCCAGTGCAGCCACAAGGGTCGTCTTGCCAACACCAGGGCTACCTTCGAGCAGAATGGGCTTCCGCATTTGGAGGGAACGCATAACTCGCATGGCGTTGAGTCTCGTGGTTGGGGCGTTGAACGCAAAGCTGGGGTCTGTGGAACGGCCTGCTTCCCGGGGCAAGCCGAAATCGCCGATGGACAGCCTGTCGTCGGTCAAGACGACCTCGGGCTGAGCGCGGTAGACTGCTGTGGTATCGTACCCAAGAAGCTCGCTTAGCTTGTCAAGACATTTCTGCCTTTGTGAGTCGAGCGCCTTGGGGTCCATCGCTAGTAATGCCGAGGGGTTGGCACCCAAGCTGTCAATGAAGACGGTCGCTGCGCCGTGAACAATAGCAAACTGGGGTGCGGCAGGGCCGCACAGGTTGATGAAGTTAACCCAGATGAGGATGTCACGGATCGAAAAGGCGGTAGAGGACGACGATCTGAAAGTCTGTCCAAACCAATGGGCAAATTGTACCACAGGCTTTCCGAAAGCCTGGAAGGACGGGTCCAGCTTGGAAACGACAATGTCAAGCATGTCGTCCATCTCGGACATGGCAGGGACCCAGATCTCGGTGAAACGGTTCCTCAGCGCCGGCGACAATTCTTTCTTGCCGAAATCGCCGCCCGGGTTCATGGTGGCGAAGAACTGGAAACCGTCTGTCGCGGTGACGAACGAGTTGTCGATACCCTTCTCTGCCAGAAGGAGAGAGCGTCCAGGTTCGAGAACCGAGTTCAGACGCTCCAGGACCGAGTCGTCTGCGAGAGAAATCTCGTCGAGAAGGAAATACTGGCCAGCCTTCATGGCGTGAACGAGACTTCCGTCCGACCACTCAAACAAGGCTTTGCTCTTGGCTTCCAAGGATGCGATCTTCTCCTGCGTGGCAGCGTCGACCCTGGCCAGCTTATCCGCCCCAAGGCCGTGGTATTGTTGCAGCAGCACGTCCAGCGGGCCTGTCGCGTCTTCGCCAAGCGCTCCAAGGAGAGCACGCAGATCGCTCTTGAGTGTCTCTGAGATGGTACCGCGATTTCTCACGGGTCTCTGGGAGCCGATGAGATCTCCCGTCTCGGTGTTCTGGTGAGCGTTGACGATGTGCAACTCCTTTCCGAGTACGTCGCCGAGAATCTGGCAAACGGTGGTTTTGCCACATCCAGTCTCACCAACGAGAAGGACTGGCTCGTTGTTGAGGATTGCAGCATGCACTAAAACATAGAGACGACGCATGGCACGAGTCCACACAACGCCATGGTTGTTGGCCTTGCCCAGAACGGCGGTCAAGATTGGTGATGAGTTGGCAGTGTATAGGACATCTGGATCAATCTTGACCTTGAACACTGTCTCGATGACCTCTCTGACCGCAGTCCGCTCCTCTTCGACTCGGACACGCTCGGCGAGAAGCATGAATCCATTGATGGCAATTTGCTCTCGTGTGTCTGCCTTTCGCAGGGCCCATCGGAACAGGTCACGGAGCGTTGCGAAACTGTCTTTTTGCTCAAACAGTCGACTCGTCTGGCGGAGACGAGAGAGCTCCTTGTAGACTGTGACGATTCGCTTACAGTCCGAGGGCGCAGTGTTGATGCTTCTGTTTTGGAGGATGTACTCCAACTCGTCCTCGGGGATATCGTCAAAGTGCAGCTCCAAGAAACGGTTCCGGAACGCACGCGAAAGCACCTTGCGGCCACCGTACAGACCAGGAGGATTTTGTGTGGAGAACAGCATGAAGTTCTCATGCGGTCGCACGATTTCCTGTGTCTCGGGGATCAGGAGCTCTCGGTTGTCGTCGAGAAGACGATTCAGTGCTTCCAGGACGTCGGTGGGAGCAAGGTTCAGCTCGTCCAGGACGATCCAGTGGCCCTGTCGCATGGCTTGCACGAGGAGACCTTCTTGGAAACGAAGTCTTCCTGACGAGTCCGACACATACGTTCCCAGGTATTCTTGCAGGTCCGTGTGTTCGTGATTGTTGATGCGCACAAACTTATTGCCCGTGAAGTTGGCAAGGTACTCGATCATACTCGTCTTTCCTGCTGATGTCGGGCCTTGGATGAGAATGGGGAATCGCCGCGTAGATGTCGCTCGCACGAGATTGAGAAGGTTGCGTTCGACATAGGGCGTGATGATGTAGTCGGTTCGCTCTAGAGTTGGTTCTTCTCCCTGAGCAAGCCAGTAATGACGGTCCTTTGCCTTGTTACGGAACCGCACATACTGTTTACCATCATCTGGTTGTCTTGGTGGTTGTGAAAGCAAAGATTGTGGATTGGAGACTCGGCCAAACAGGTGAAAGTCGATCAACGGCATGACCATCTTTTCCGAGTTCCTGTCGAGAAGGGTAAGGAATCCCATGGAGAAACCCTCATACAAGGCTCGACGAATGCCGTAAAAGGGGGCGATGTAGTTGACGAATGTCAAGACTCGGGTGAGAGTACGAAGACTGAAATGCGGCACTTCGTTGGCTCCGTCCACGATTCTCTTCTCCTCGGCATGTCTCTTGGTGTTCATGTACAACGCCGCAATATCATCTGCGGCATGCTCATCCTTGATGCTGCTGTTCCTCAGGTACGTCTTGACAATGGTGACCAAGTCCTTCACGTCCTTGTCAGGACTGTCAACGTAGAGCTCAGTGAAACGAGACCGGATACCGATAGGAAGATCACGCTTGCCCACATCTGTCGCCGGGTTCATGGCACCAAAGATGCGGAAGTTCGGGTGCGCTCTGATCCTCTCGATCTCTCCCGTTTCGGACAACAGAATCGAAGGGGTCTCAACGGGTCCTGTCAGTAGGTCCGCGATGGCTTCCAGAGTGTCAGGCGATGCCAAATTGATCTCGTCAAGGAGCACCCAGTCACCATTCCGGGCGGCTTTGATGATGTTACCCTCCACGAATGAAAATGCGAACGCGGTTGAGCCTCCAGACAGTTGGATCTCGAATTGTTCCAGGCTGTTCGAGAACTTGTCCCAACGGGGGCTGAGTTCCATGAGGCTCTGGAGCTTGGACTCGGTCTTGCGGCGCTTCGTGGGCTGGCCTGCCTCGTCACGGACTTGGCTCTGCTCCCTCTCGCGCCGGGCAAGCTCGTCGACGATCTTCCTAAACATCTTTGGCGCTTCACGCCAGTACTTGGCTGCCTTCGCCCATTGTCCCTTGGCGAATGACTTTCCAAGCTGTTCGAGGTAGCGCTGGTTCTTCGTTGTCGAGATGCCGGTCGCCGAGAACAGGTCCTCGAATTCCTCCTTCAGAGGAACAGCCAGACTCCTCACGTTGACAGGCTTGAAGCCTCCGAGAAGATCTCCGGCTTCGCTCTGCTGGGACAGGTTAATTGCGACCAGCTTGTGACCCAGCGTATCGGCCAGCTGCTGGACGACCGTCGTTTTTCCGATACCAGTCTCACCGACGAGTAGGATCGGCTCGCCAAGGTTTACAGCTACTGCGGTCTGCTCCAACAACTTCTTCGCATGTGCTGTACTGGCAAAGGGCTTCTTGGCTAGGGCGGCCTTGTTCACGCGGTCCTTCCGCTTGCGCAGTGTTGATCGGCCAATCTTGAAAAGACTATCGTTTTGCTCGAGCTCCGGGATGTAGCTTCCCAAGTGATGCTCGACCAGCTCCTTCGGCATATGCATCTCCTCAGCGATGCCGAATATGAAGTGCTGTCTGGCCTGAACGTCGGGAATACCAGCAACGAAGCAGTCAATGGCCTCCTTGAACATGTTCATTCGAATAGTGTCAGTGACAGGTTCCTCGCCAGTTTTGCAGCCTGCCTCGTGTAGTGTAGCTGCAAGGCGTCTGCACCACCGCAACAGGTCTCGCAAGCTGGTTTGACGGTCGGCCATGCCGCGGCTGGACGACAGGGGAACGCTGCCGGACATTGGCTTTGACAAACGCTTGTACACAGCAAGAATGCCAGGCGCAAACTTGTGTAAGATGGGGTGGGATCCAACAATGATATCCTGTAGCTCGGTCTCTGTAGGGGTCTGTACCGAGAGTAGCTGCCAGAACCGCATGCCCAGGAGGTTAGGCAGCGTCTCGCGACCATGCATGCCGCGTGAGCTTCTCACCGTGCCAAAGAGACGGAATCCGTTGGCAGCCTTGATACGCTCACCCCTGCTCGGGATGAGGAGCTCACCGCGCTCGATCAGGGGGAGAAGTGTACTGATGACTTCGTTGGGTGCTCTATCCAGGTCTTCGATGAGAACCCAGCGACCTTCTCTGACTGCGGTTGTCAGCACACCGGCCCTCCATGAAAAGGTCCCCGGTTTTGAGTCGGTTGAATAGAGTCCAATAAGCATCTTTGCGTCTGTTTGCTCATTGATGTGCAATGTCACCATCTCAGAATGCTTTCCAAACTCCTTTGCAACTTCATGAACCAGTGAGGTCTTTCCAGAGCCGGGTAGGCCATGAAGGAGAATCGGGCTTGCTCTCTTCAGGAGGCCAGCCAGACTCTCAAGGTTTTTGGTGGTAGTGGACGTCAGCACAAGGGACGAGGCCTTGTCCACGGGTCCCGACGGTCTCGGCAGTATTGTCTTGCCGTAGCACGCAACATAGGGAGTGAGGGATTGCGGTGAAGAAGAGTGGATTTCATTGCTCTGTGAGGCACCGCAGAGCTCCCGGCGCAGGGTCGATATCTGCTTGATTCGCGCATCTTCATACAGACTCAGGAATCCGTAGTCTACCTCGCGCCCATCAAAGTCAGCAAGGACGGCCTCCGTCGCACCAACGTGCTCGGTGATGAGAGCTTCCAGCTTCGAGTCGGCAGCGCGGAGGAGCTGGGTGAAGATGCGGATGGCCAAGTACCGGACGGCGCGGCACTCATGTGAGAAGAGAGTTTGCATGTGTGTTGGTGAGACCAGGATGCCGTATGTCCTTTGATCGAAACAGACAAGCCGCCATGCTGCTAATAGTAGCTTCAAAAGGTCGGAATCTTGTGTGGGAGAAAAAGTGGTGAGTTTTGGGAATCGGAGGGTGAGCGTCTGGATGGTGTCCGATGTCGTTTTCGTCAAGTCGTCTCTCATGACATGCTGCAGGAATTCCGATAAATACGGAGCAAATGGTAATATCCTCGCAACAGACGCAAGAACTTGTCTATTTTTGCTATTGACGGTTTGGTTGTCGAGGTTGAGGAGCCAACGGGCGCAGATATCTGGAAAGACATTCTCAAAGTGAATGAAAATTCGATCTGTAAGTTGGGGAATGAGAGCAGCCTCTGCAACGGCGTCGAGGAGGCGTGATGAGGTGTGATTTCTGATAACCTCTAGTATTTCGGTAGGTAGATGCTCCAGAACATTCGCGTCGTTCAGGAGAGCGCTCCTCTGCGTCGACACGTCTATGGAAGCCATGGTTGTGGCTCAATTATGAAATATGTCGACGGCGGTGATGTTCATGGATGGCCAATTTGCATGTACCTCCAACTTTTTTTTTTTTTGGACTGTACTCCAAAGAGAGAGAGGGACCCTTTCCCGGCGCGCGCCAGCCAAAAGGCAACTTTTTTTTCCCTTTGATGGGGCCCGCCGCGGTGTGTTCGACAGGGGTCCCTGCAGTGTAGGTACTCCACGGAGCGGAAGGCGGCGCTACAGAGCCCCCGAGCCAATCAAAGTGGAGACGCCTCTGCACCATTCACGCGACTGGAACCACCTCATTCGCAGGAGCTCGAAAAACTTCAAGCCCAGAAGATATCCCGAGCTAAGAAACCTCCCTGTTGCTTGAGGCCGAACTCGATTCTCGACGACAATCCGCTCCGCTCAACAACGCCAATTGGCCTCGTCTCCTCCCGCATTCTTCATATCCTCACACGACAGCCACACACAATGGCCCTCTCTTGCAGATTCGCAGCCCAGAGCTGCGCCCGTCAGCTCCGTGCCACCGGCTCGATGCGTGCCTCGACATCCCTCTTCCAGACCCGAACTCCCGCAACCGCACGAAGGTACAACTCGACCGAGGCCGCTGCCCCCACGAACCCCAAGATCGCCGCCATTGTCGACCAGATTAGCACTCTTACTCTTCTCGAGACCGCAGACCTCGTTTCAAGCTTGAAGGTTAGTTGAAGAAGAAGCAGTGACGAGCGCAGTTTATCCCCAAATCGACTCGTCATAGGCATTCAGGGGAAAAGGAGACCATGGGACAAATTCTGACTCTCTAAATCGCAGTCCAAGCTCAACATCCCCGATCTCCCCGTCGGTGGCTTCGCCGCCGCCCCCGCAGCAGCTCCCGCCGCTGTCGAGGAGGCTGAGGAGGTCGCACCGGCAGCCGCCGAGAAGAGCGTCTTCAACATCAAGCTCCAGGCCTTCGAGGCCGGCTCAAAGCCCAAGGTCATCAAGGAGATCAAGAACCTGTTGGGTCTGAGCTTGGTGGACAGCAAGAAGTTCGTCGAGAGCGCGCCGAAGCTGATGAAGGAGAACGTGGCCAAGGACGAGGCCGAGAAGATCATCGCCGCCATGAAGGAGCTTGGCGCCACCGTCACCATGGAGTAAAATGGCCCTAATGGCTGGTTGAGGCCTGGCTGGCTGATGTAGACTGGAGCGCGGCCCCTCTCCTTGGGAGGAGATGTAAAACTCGGGGGGAAGCAATGTGTTGTCGGACATCTGGGTTCGGATTGGTCTAGACGGACGTGTATGAGTGTATAAACACCCATGTAACAATATTATCACAAAGACATACACCACCTTTTTTGTATTGCCATACTGAACGGTCTCTTTTTGCAGTTCTTGATTATGCCTCAAACTACCCAAAAAAATACTTGGCAAACTTTGTGACCCTAGTGCTACCTGTGGTATTTGTCGTGTCGCGAAACCTGACCCTCGAACGCCCTACTTTTTCCACCCTTTTCCCGAAACGCCAAGATATGCTTTGGAAGAGAACCCGATAGTTCTCACTCAGTTCTTCTTTCCATTCGTAATGCGCGTACTAGCAGGACCGACCGGCGGCTTAGGAGGACACGAGTGCTTCATGGCCTGAGAGCACTCGGCAAACTCCTCCTCACCTAGGATGTGGTCGTCGTCGCCGAAATCGCTCGTCTCATCCCAAATCTTGTCAATCTCTGCGTTCCCGTGCGGTGGGATGGCCCATATGCTCTCGCGCAGCCGCTTATGGCGCTCGCGGTCCTCCTCGATGCGCTGCTCAATCTGGCGCTTCTCCAGGCGCGCGGCGGGTCCCCGGCCGTTAGCCGGCATCGCGTGGCTCGCAGGCGCGTCGCCCATCTCGACGTCGCCGTTGACGGGGGACGAGAGGCCCGCGTCGTGGGCGCTCGTCTCGCGCTCCTTGAGGACCTCTTCGATCTCTGTTACTGTGCGTGCCTCGAGGAAGTCCTTGTCCTGGAGGCCTCGGAGGACCTGAGATTTTTGCTCTCATGTCAGCTTTTACATGAAGCTTGTGCGGGGCCGTAGGATCAGAGAGAGAACTCACTCTTCGGACGACTTTGACGTTGGCGGCGCCGGATCCATCATCGGGGGCGACGGCATCGACGATGCGGATGATGTCGCGCTGCATCATGCGGACATAGTCCATGTGCTTGTCCTTCTGGGCCATCTCAAGGAAATGCTCAATGAAGTACATGATGTTGGCGCGCGTATTCATATTGTTCTAAGAAGATCATAATCAGCTCATTGTCTCATGGTTCCTCATGAAGGTCACACTCACCCGTTCCAGCTGCTCCAGGATACAAGAGTGCAGATCCTCGTCCATATCCTTGTACTTGAGGGCGTACTGAGCCGCCTTCTGAGCTGAAGTGACGGACGCATTCAGATGCTGCAGGGAGCTACTGAAGCGCATTCGAACCTCGAAAGGGTCCGCCATGTTGCACTACAGCGGACTTTCGGTCCCGGTTTTGACCTTGATCTAAATTTGAATTAGGCGGACTGAGTCTGGGGTGAGGGTTGGGGATGATGTTGAAAAAGCGGCTGGTGATGCTGGGGCTGAGTTGAGGCTTGTTCGATGGCACCCGAATCCGAGCTGTCACTCTTTCCAACTGAATTCGCTGGGGCAGTTTCTCACAGGTACACCCTGTGTTGTTGCCTCCATTTTCGGGTGTATTCTCACTGCTTTGGTGCTGTAAGCACTGTGCGAATGGAGGTAAGTATAACGCTAAGCAGAGTTGGGCTTAGCTCTAGAGAAAAGCCAAGTTCAGTGGACGAAAAGCTGTGGACGGACGATATCGGAACAGTGGAGAGCTTCTTTTTCTGCAAAAGGAGGTGGATAATAATATTGGCCAGGGGATTCTTTAACTCAGCCTTCATCTCCTATCTTTGTCTGATAAACTTTGTTTTTGCAACCCAAGTGACCCTTTCTCCGAAACTGAGGTTGTTCATATTGCTCTAACCTTCTGTTGTTTTTTCTTGGACTATAAATTAGAAGCACCATCCTTGGCGCAATAGGAACCCGTCACTTACACCGCATTCTCATTTTTTCTCATACCCCTTCTTCATCATGTCTGTCATGGGAGATCACAGCTCTTCGGAGCTCACCATGACCGTTCTCGGTTGTGGTAAGTAAAGAAATATCTTGTGCAAATAACGAGATGAAATATTCTGACTCTCAACAGGAACCATGGGAATTGCCATTCTCAACGGCATCTTCACTTCCTTGCTGGAAATGCAGGCTCCCAAGCCTCTCCAGACCCTCCACACTCCTTCAGCATCGGGCACATCCACCCCCTTGGGCGACGAGGTCCCCCATCGCCTACCATCCCGCTTCATCGCCTGCGTCCGCCGCTCCGACAGCGCCAAGAAGGTGAAGAAGGCGCTGTGGGAGCACTCCTCCATCCTCAAGGTCGTCCAAAACGACAACGTCAACTCCGTCTCCCAGTCCGACGTCGTCATCCTCGCCTGCAAGCCCTACATGGTCAAGGACGTCCTCAGCGAACCCGGCATGACCCGCGCCCTGCACGGCAAGCTCCTCATCAGCATCTGCGCCGGCCTCACCGAGGAGCACCTCGAGGAGATCCTCCACGGCGCCGTCCCGACAAAGGACCCCGAGGAGGACGGCCGCTGCCGCATCATCCGCGCCCTCCCCAACACTGCCTCGCTCATCCGCGAGAGCATGACGGTCATCGGCGCGCCGACGTACCCCCTCCCGCGCGAGGCCGCCAACCTCGTCACCTGGATCTTCAAGCGCATCGGCGACGTCGTCTACCTGCCAGCCGAGAACATGGACGTCAGCACCGCCCTCTGCGGCTCTGGTCCAGCTTTCTTCTCCCTTGTTCTCGAAGCCGCCATCGATGGCGCCGTTGCCATGGGTCTCCCGCGCGCCGAGGCCACGAGGATGGCGGCGCAGACTATGAAGGGCGCCGCGGGCTTGGTCCAGAACGGTGATCACCCCGCCCTCCTCCGCGACAAGGTTACCACGCCTGGTGGATGCACTATCGGGGGTCTGTTGGTGCTCGAGGAGGGTCGCGTCAGGGGTACCGTCTCGCGTGCCGTGCGTGAGGCTACTGTTGTTGCCGGCCAGCAGGGCCAGGGCATCCAGGGGGTGAACGGCACTCGTTTCGTTTCGCAGTCGGGATATTCTCAGTTCTGAGATGGTTGGAAAGGGTTAAAGGTTTCTGCGCAAAAGTACATAATGTACGATTCTCATGAATAATGAATGAATATTTGTTATCTACCTTGATTTATTTAATCAGTAAGGTGTTCACTCACTTGTTCCTCCAAATCAATATTTGATTGATTATTGCTTGCTTGCTTCAGTTCTAGGGGGTACAATTCTCAAGGGTAGGGAGTATGAGATTCCTTACAAAAATCTGAGCTGTCTTAAGCATTCATTGCCCTGATTGTAGTAGGATCTGAGAGTTATCAATGACAGTCATCGTTCTTTACTCTCTATCCCGGCATCTTGCACTTCAAACCAGGAAGAGTATTAAAAGCACAAAACGAGAAATGAATGATTCAATGATAGATAACATCCAACTTATATATAAGCAAAAATGCAAAAGCTCGGCCCCCCTCACGGGGAGCCTACGAAAACCCCTGCCGACTCTGTACGTCCTGTTCCTCAGGTGTAACGCGGTAGGAATTTTTCACGAGACTCGAACTCGCGACCTGTGCAAGCGGGGCAATTCACTGACTTTCCCCGTTACGTCACAGGCCTTGGTGACGATATCAAACAAATTTGTTGATCATAGAGGTATGGAGGCGGTGGTGGCGGGCGGTGAGTGGATTCAGATGAGATTGGTGATGGTTGGGATGAAAGGGCGTGATGTAAGGCGGCTGCAGTCATTCCCTCCCCTAACAGGTATAGGTATGTTCATCTCAGGAGCTCGAATCACATAATAATCACCCTATACTACGCTATTTAGTGAGTATGGGTTCAAACGATATTAAACGGAAAGCTGCGTGGTTATTATACTTTACATTCGGGCTGAATACCCGGGTTGCCCCCTCTAATCTATCATCCCGGTGGTAGTCGCCTTTCTTCGTCTATGTCTATCGCTAATAATTGTGAGGGTTGCCTTGACCTCCCATGGTCACCATGTACACCATCTTACAGGCGCTATTCACTTTTAACATGTCCATGATGATCCCTTTCTCTCCTCTGCTGACTGACGCACGAAATCATATCCCACAACGCTCAAAACCGAGAAATATCCCTTCCAAAAACCCAGGTGACGAACCAGTACACCGGAACCAAAATCTTGTTGCGGATACTCATCGACTTGGTCAAATAAGCACACCGCCACAGAATCCAGGCTGTATCACATCGTTAGCTCATCCGGATTCCACTGCCTGCAAGAGTGGAGTATAACATACCTGCTCTTCCCTTCAACTCATCCGCAGAACTCTGATGAATAGCACGCCAGCTACCCAGATACGCCATGGCCCCGAGATTCCGGAACTTGAACGGCTTTCCCTCCTCCGGCCCAGCCGCCTGCTTGTTGAGCGCCTTGGCGAGATACTTTGCCTGCTGACTCGCAACCTGCGCCGTGGCAGGCAGCGTCTGGCCCTCGAGAACAGAGCAGTCGCCCATGGAGTACACGTCCGGCAGCACGGCGCCCTCGTTCTTCGGATCGTCGAGGCGGACCCTCAGATGCGCGTCCGTGACGATGCCGCCGCTCCGCTCCGCCTTGAGAATCTTGACCATCTCAGCACCAGCACCGCTAGCACCCTGGTCCTCAGTAGGAGCAACAGCATTCGGGTTCCGCAACTCCTTCTTCATCAGCGTCTGCACGAGCGGGTTCTGCATCAGCCCCGTGCTCCAGACCACGATGCCCGCGCCGACCTCCTCCTCGCCGTGCTCCTGGATCTTGAGCCGCAGCGCGCCGCGCGGGTCCGTCTCGTCCGGGCGGATGCGCTGCAGGTGGTGGTTGGTTTTCACTTTGATGCCCTGGCGGCGGAAGAGGTCCTCGGCGTAGGAGGCCAGCTGCTGGTCAAACATGGGCAGGACCTTGGGCGCGATGTCGTAGATTGTGATGCCGACGAATTCCATGAGGTGCGGGTAGAGCTTGGAGAGGTCGTCGTGGATCAGGTCGTGGAGCTCGGCGGCGAACTGGGCGGAAGGTTAGTAACGATGAGTGCTTGGCGTCTCATGAATTTGAGGACAATGAGGGGTGTAACTCACCTCGATACCCGTCGGTCCTCCGCCGACTACAGCGAAGTGAAGCAACTTCCTCCTCTGCTCATCCGTCGTCGTCGGCCAATCCGCCTTTTCAAAGCACTGCAGCACCCTCAACCGAATACTCCTCGCGTCCCCGATATCCCTCAAGAAATTAGCATACTCCTTCACCCCCTCGATCCCAAACGTCTGCGAATACGACCCGACCGCCACAACAAGCTTATCGTACGCGACGTCGACCACCTCCCCCTTGGCCCGCGCGTGCGCATCCCGCGCCGGCAGCGTCTTGGACGTGGCGTCCTCGGAGGTGACCTTTTCGACGCGGATCACTTTCCGCGTGAAATCCACGTCGTCGGCCCAGGCCTGGTGGAAGGCGTCGAGCTCCAGGCGGCGGACGGGCTCGAGGACGGAGCGGAACTCGAGGGTGCCGACCGAGGTGGAGGCCAGCAGGGGGGTGAAGACGAAGTAGGAGCGCGGGGAGATGAGGATGCGCTCGTATTTTTTGGGGTCGAGCTCGCGGGCGAAGGCGTAGCCTGCCCAGCCTGAGCCCAGGACGACGACTCTCTCACGTTTTGGTTCTGTGGTTGTGCGTCAGTGGAAGCGTCGATGACATGTCGCTGATATTTGTACAAAGTTCAAGGACTGAGGTGAATGAGGTGGATGTGTACCTGTCGGCGAGCTCGAACTCGTGCTGTTGCGATGGTTGACGAGACTCGTGTTAGTCAGAGCCTCAACCTGCAACGCCGTGCCGGCCGGCCCCCGGCGTCCGGGCCGTGCCAGGCTCCTCCAATATTGTTGTGCGACTTTCGATGAGGCCATGATGAGGTTACAATCATACCACCTAAAAACCAACGGCAAAGGAAAACGGGGGTCCAGCAGTTGGCTATATAAAACACCGCAAAGGCCCTTCCCACTCAGTACGGCCCAGCCCACTCCTTCCTCTGACTCCCCTAGTTCTCCGAACCCGTTTTCTACGGCTGTTCTACGGCGGTGGGTTAAATCCGATGGCCCAACGTAGGCGTTTGGGGGGGCTCCTGGGCGGCGTTGACTGTTGGGAAAGGTGGGCACGATAATGGCTCGGGATGGGGATCGAGGGCGCTCGGTGTATCGGAGACTTGCCACAGAGCGCGTGCTAATACGGGACGGGACGGGGATCGGGTGGCCCTGACATCAGAAAAAAAGAGTCTTGGAACCAGTGAGTCAATGCGCTTATTCCGTTCGCTCGACAAGCGGAAAATGGTTGATCCAAGGAATGGAAGCCAAGGGGAAGGTGGTTCTTTTTGGACAGTAGAATTAAGGTTGATTCTTTTCTAACTCAATTACATCTTTTTCTCACGTCACAATGCTTAGAGGCTGCTTGGTAACACCTACTAACACGGCGCCGACGGAACGAGTGACGTCCTCCGTCTCCACTTTTGCCCGTCCGACGGCCCCGGCGTGGCGTTCCCGCTTTTTCTTTCCTTTGATTGTCCAAATGACGTCCCTAAAATTTCACTTTTTGTCTTCGCATGCATCGAATAAGGTACATGGGACGGGGTGGGATTGTCCGCACAAATCTCCGTCCGTAGAAAATATCCCACACGGCTCCGGGTCGCTCTCCCTCTCTCCATTTTTGGTCTAAACTTTCTCTACTGCAGCATAGAGTCCAAGCTTTCGCCAAGGACTCCCTCGATCTTGACGATCCACTGGTGCGTCTCCCGCTCGACGGTCTCGTCATCGTCGTCCTGGAGCTCGCTGATGTAAGGGAGCATCTCAGGCAGTGCCGAGAGCCACTCCTCGCCGAGCTTCTCGGCAAGCTGCTGCTGGCACCTGACGGCCGCCAGACGGACGGGCGCGTGCTCGGAGCGGAGGTGGCGCAGGATGGCCGTGTTGAGCTCCTTTTGGTGCTCCTGCGAGTCCGCCGCCGAGGCCAGCTCGACCACCGCGGGAATGAGCTCGCCGGTCAAATCGAAGGACGAGGAGGCGTGGAGGAACTGCGCCGTCAAGACGGGAGCGACCTTGCCAAAGTGGGCGGGCGCCTGCCAGAAATCGTCCTGGTCGTGCTCGAAGCACCTCGCCAGCGTAGACAGCACGCGCTGCCAGAGCTCCTTTTGCTCGGGCAGCTTCAAGTCGGTGCCGTTGATGATCTCGACGGCGTCGTCCACGATGTAGGTAGCGTAGTTGGTGACGATGGACTTGAGGCCCTCGAAGAAGACCTGGAGGAACCCGTAGACGCTGAAGCGGCGCAGGGTACGTCCTGTGGCGTCTTGCTTGGGCAGCTGTGTGGACCACTCGATGATCTGGGTGAAGATGGGCCTGAAGGCCGCGTCGTTGAGCTTGTAAATCATCTTGAGCGTGACGTCGTTGATGGAGGCCTCGATCTTGGTCACATGTTGAGCTGTCGCGTTTGTGAGCTTGCCCTTGATGTGTTCCCGTCTGCGAAGGTCCAAGGAGTTGAGCAGGATTGTGGACAAGGTAGTGACGTTCTTGGTGACAACCGATTTGGGCTGGCTATCAACCACAACTCCAAAGATGTCGACCCATTCCTCGGTGGCCTGCGTACTTGTTAGTAGGGCTTTGTAAATCTCCTTGGGCAAATAACTTACGTCGAAACCAGCCTCAGCAGCCGGGATCCAGTTCTTCTGCAGGCTGGCCAACATCGTCTTGGCCTCGACCTTTCTGGCAAGAAATCTGAGACAGTTGATACGCTCGTCGTCAGCTTCGTCATCCAGGTTAGCCTCGGCTGACTTGTTGGAAGCAAGCAGGATGTTGTCCAGGTGCTTCTCCGAGATCATGTAAGGCAGGTGCTGCGCGAGAGCAGTGATGAATGCAAAGGCCGCATTGTGTAGTTCGTTGGCGGCCTCGTCGTTCTCCACGCTCTGCTCAATGTAGAGAATTGCCTGAGAAATAGCAATGTTGACAATAGGCAGAATACCGTCTTGGAGCACATCAACAAGGGAGGCAAGACAAAGCAACGCCATGACACGGAGGCTAACATCGGGCTGGCCGAGGCAGTGGGGTCCGGCAATGGTTGCTGCCGCACCCGCGACGGCCTCGATATCCTTCTTGCCATACTTCTCTGCGATCTTGTCGATGCAAGAAACGGCAGTGTGCTTGTACTTGAGGTCGTCCGTGTCCCGGATTGCGGCGGTGAGCTGCGGCAGGAAGGCAAGAAGTGCCGTTCTGGAGGCAACGTCCGCAACGCCCTCCTGGTCGACGCGGACCTCGAGGGCACGAAGGACCTTGCGACGAAGGTCGATTTCGGTGCGGTCCAGGAGGTTCTCGACCGACTTGATGAACTCACCGATGGAGAGGAGGTTGAGGAGGTTGGCCAAGGCGTTGCCGCAGCACTCGTGCAGCGCCTTCTGCTGCTTGACGGTCTCCGCGAGGGCCAGTACGTCTCTGAGAAGGATGGCATACAAGTCCCGAATCTTTGAAGAATCCATGTCGTCCCTCTCTGTGAGAATGGTAATCTCCTTTCGCAGTTTTCTGCTGGAGAGCAGAGCGGGGAACACAGTCAACTGCTGAATTGCAATAGCCTCGGGCTTCTTCTCTGACAGATCCTCGCCGACTCCCAAAAGGGTAGCCGAAAGGCCTGGCTTGGGCTTGAAAATGTCACTGATCAAGTCCAGGAGCTTAGCCAGGGTCTGAAGCTGCACCTCGGCGCTGTAGACGCCAAGAAGTTCAGAGGCAAATGCCATGAGGTTGTCGTTGGGGCCGTATCTATCGACAAGCATAGCCAACAGGGCGTACAGGAACTCATCCGGTCCGAGGGTGTTGATGAGAGCGACAAACAGGCCCTGCTTGCGGTGTGCGGGGATGTGCTCGTAGGCGGTGACGAAGCTCTGTAGTAGCTCTGTGGCACCCGCAATGGGGTTTCTCTTGCCCTTCTTGAGCGACGCCATCAGGGGCGGCACAACCTCCTTGATGGTCTGGTTGACAACATGAGCTGAGTGATCATCGTTCTGGCGGAGGACAGAAGCACCCATGAAAGTGAAGATGGGCATCACGCTATGAAGCACAAGATCAGGCGCGGCAGTAGCAAGGCTGGCAATCAGGAGAAGGGCCGAGTTTTGCACAATGGGGCTGGAAGACTTCTGGATGCAGTTGACAAGCAAATCGCCGTGGCCGCCTGAGCTGTCGATCTTCAGGCTCTTGTTGTCTCTGTAGGCAGGGACCATGGCAATCAAACTTGTAAGCACCAGGTTTTGCAGGTATCCAAGCTCCGATCTGATGACAGTACGGAAGTGCTGAAGCTCGGAGAGAGTGCCAAAGAGGCTGTCGAGCAACTCGGGGTGGGTGGCAGGCTGCGAGCCGTCAACGAGCTGGAGAACGAAGGTGACGGATCTCAGGGTTGCGCTGAGCTCGGCACTGGCCTGAGCGCTGACAACACCTCGGTTGGCCTCGGAGGAGCTGGTCCTGCGTCGCTTGTTGGCAGGAGGCTCGGTGATGAGCTTCGTGCCGGTCTGGATAGACTCGAGGAAGTAAGCCAGGATCTCTGTCGTGAGCTCAACGTTCCTCAGGAAATCAGCCGCCTCGTCAGCGATGATGTCCTCTTCGTCCTGGGATGCCTGTCGTGCCTGAGAGAGCTCAAGCATCGTCTGGGCCACATCAAACTTGGTGTCGGCCTTCATTGAGCCCCACATAGCACGAATGCGCGCCGAGATGGATCTGACCAGCTCGGGACGCTTGGCGGAGGCGGAATCCTTCATGATAGAGAGGAGGCACTCGAGGCCTTCGCTGTCGTTGGGCACGACAATCTCGGCAAAGGTCGTATGCAGTAATGACTGGTCGACTTCCTCAGCCTCGGCAAGACGGTCCGCTTCCTCAGCGGACAACGACGCCCACCATCGGAAAGCCGGCAGCAGGACCTTTGTTCTAGAGGTGGATGATACTCCCCTGATGCGGTTGAGGATCGAGAGCAGGCTGGACTTGACTCTGATGAGAGGCGTTGCGACGACGTGGCTGGCAAGGAACGAGAGAATTGAGGCCCTACCAGAAGAGCTCAGTGCCTTCTTTCCTTCGCTGCTCTCGCCCTTGGCGCTGCTGTCGAGTGTCGAGTGGAGGACGGCACGAATGTGATCCTCATGCATGATGCATTCCTCCAGAGCCGGAAGAATGACACCGTGAAGGAGGCGAGAAACAGTATCGGCATCCAGCCACTGCACCTTGTCGCTTTCATCGTAAAGCTTCTTGCCACCCCAAACAGAAGCCTTCGCGGCCTTGGACTGGTGAGGGAAGAAGTGGCCTATTTGGATGAGGAGCTCAGCCGCAGCACGGCGAACCTTCTTTGAAGAGTCCACGAGAGCAACGAGGCAGTAGGGGATAAGGGCCTGGAAGTCAAGATCGTTGCCATCGCCGTCGCTCAGACGTCTCCTGACAGTGTCGACAGCAGCGGCGCGAGCCAGAGTCGGGTACGGGCCGGACCAGATGCGGACGAAGAAGGTAATGTAGGTGTGATCGCTGACTGCAGTTCGTCGGCTCAAAGACGGCAGCTGGTCGAAATCGGCCAGAAGTGTCGGGTCTTCGGACTGCTGAGACACGACCCGGAGGAAGAGTCTACTGAACTCGTCGTAGACATCGCCAGTGCTGGTCGAAAGGCACGATGGGAGTGCGCGGGTCTGGCCAGAGAGCTCCTGGATAGTCTCTCTCAGGTTCTCCTTTATCGGCGCAACGGGTTGAGATCCATCCATCTCGGTATCCTCCTGGGTTCCGGGTAATGCCTTTCTCTGGCGAATAGAGACATCGAGCTTCATCTCCAACTCCTCCACATCGAAATCGACCTCCTCGAGAACCGTCCGGATGATCTCGCTAGTTTCTCCGGAAAAGCGCGAAAGATCAATGAGTGTCGAACCGAGCTCCTTGCGAATTTCGCCGTCCTTGTCGACCTCGTCGTCGAGTCTGTGGGCCGCGAGGACCAGAGACTTGAAGATGACGGCAATTTGCTTTCCCTTCAGGATCTTGCTCATCAGGATTACCCGAATGATTGGCAATCCGCGAGCATCACCCTTCTTGCAGAGTCTCTCAATGAAGGCGATGCACAGGCCGTTGGTGAGCTTGTCCACCCTCCTTTCCTGACCAAGCTCAACGAGAATCTCTCCAAGGTCCTGCACCTTCAACAAGGCCTTGGTGACCTTTCCAGAAAGCTGTTTGGCGGATCGATACTGTGCCAGGATGCACAGGCACACCAGGCCGGGGCGCACAGTCTCGCTGGTCCAACCGTGGACAATCTGCTCCATGAAAGCCGACAGAGTCGCGTCGTCGAAGCTTCCCTTGGCCGCAACAATAGTGACGGCCATGTATGAAGCGATCTGCATGTTGGGGACCTTCTTCATGGTCATTGCCTCGGCGAGGGTGGGGCCGACGCGATGGAGGAAGGCTTCGTTGTTGTCCTGCTGAACAGCCTGGCGGCCTGAGCGCATGTTCTCAAGAAGACCGTTCACGGCTTCCGTCATGATTCCGCCCCAGAACGAGATCAAGGTCGGGTACTGCTGCTGGTTCCTGCAGGCCTCGAGGGTGTATTCGGAGAGGGTGCTGAGGAAATCGGCCTTGTGGATCGCTTCGTGAACCAGGACAGATCGTGGAGGTGAAGTGAGCGACTTGATGTAAGGGTTCAAGAATCGGTACTCGTTGGGGATCTTGGAGGGCAGGATCGAGAGCAAGGTAACGAAGGCGGGGATCGAGTGGTACGGGAGGAAGGTCGTGATGAGAGACTTTGTGTTGTTCTCGTGAATTCTGTGACAACGTCAGCATGGGGAGTTCTCGACGAGATTAGAGGCTCCAACATACCTGAATCTTCGCACAAGCCATTCAAGGGCACGAAGCGAAGGCATAAGCCTCAATCTGCTTCCAACGAGGCGCAGGAAGGACTCGACCTTCTTGTCCAGCTCGGCATTCTCAGCGGCAGTCATCTGGGTGCGGTCCTCGCTCATGCTCTGCTCGCTAAAGAGCGTCAGGCCAAACGGCTTGAACCGTCCATCGAGCTCGCACAGCTCCTCGAAGCCTTCCAAACATATCGTGTAGAGCGCCTGGTAGCTCTGCGTCGCGGCCACTCTCGGCTCGAAGAGGAGGGACTTTGAGTGGGCGGCCTTTTGCGCCCTGACATCCAAAGATGCCTTCGAGTTGGCGGCAATCTGCGCCAATTGCGCAGCAAGAGAAGACGCCATTGTCTAGAAAATTTGCGGCATTCCGCAGTGATCGAATACTCAATGGCGGGGGAGAGCAACGAGACTGGGGTTGTTTTCTCTTACAACATTTTCCTGGAGTTCTGGATTTTTTTTCTGACGGGGATTAGTTCCGCCGACTTTTTTTTGCTGATAAGCCATTGAGCGAATGGCTGACTTTATAGATAAGGTTATGGGTCCCATCGATGGATGAGCCCCGCCAGTCCACCTCCAATGCCTTTGTTAACGCTGCCACGGGCTCTGCTTGGGATTTGGTTCCCATGCTCCTGATGCGTCTTATTCTTGGAATGTGTTGTGACGAGAGAGATAGATGATCTGAGTAATAATTTGGGTCCCGATTCCTAATTACCAACTCTCTCGTATTTGGTGGACGTCACCAATAGGCCATATAACGCTGAGGACCCAGGAGCAGTCTGTTGCTGCCACTGCTGTTAGTCTAAAGAGTGGAACCCAACTCCTCCTTCAAAACTCGGTGTTAGTGGTACGGTGTTCTCGTGCAATTGATAGGCCGACAACCGCAGACTGCAGGCACTCTCGCACAGCCTAACCAGTGAGGATATCGTGCTTTCGGCTAGACGGGATGTTCTGCCGTGTTAGTGTCTCCGAGGTAGTGTTTGCGAGATTGAGGAGAAGGGTGTTTTGGGCTCCCTGCAGTGAAGTCGCAGAGACACATATAAGCTGGGCAAGCCACTCAACACCATAGACTGGATGCGTATTCCCAATTGTATAGCGACTTTGAAATAAGAATAGAGACCAATCACCATGGCTGTAAGCGATACCTGTTATACAGGCACCACACATTACTTACTGTCTTTGCAAGAAACCATACCCTCAAGTTGTGCTCTTTGGAGATTCTCTGTTCCAAGGGTCTGTGGTGACCTTTGAAGGCTTTTGCTTCCAGGCCGAGCTTCAATGTCGTGAGTTGGCCAAATCCAGGGTTTTAGGGTCCGGAACCAGACACTTACACACGCCGCTTCCAAGATGTAAATCGCCGTTATGACGTTGTCAACCGTGGGTTTTCGGGTTGGAATTCGGCGAACGCTTTGAAATATCTTCCCGAGATGTTTCCCCCTCCTTCACCTTCAGGACCACAACTGAAGTACCTGGTTAGTAGCAACATCGCGCAGATGGACATTCAATGCCAGACTAACTCTCCCTAGTTGGTTCTTCTGGGCGCAAACGATGCAGTTCAGCCCATGCACACGACAACCCAAAATGTGCCCCTAGAAGAGTACAAGCAGAACCTCATTAAGATCGTCACGCACCCCAACATCACAGCCCACAACCCCAAGATCCTCCTCGTCACGCCGCCGCCCATCGACGAGATCCGCATCACCAAGCTGGACCTGGCCTGGGGCCACCCAAAGCCGACCCGGACAGCCAAGGTCAGCGCAGGATACACCCAAGCGGCCCGCGAGGTCGCCGCCGAGGTCCCCGGTGTGGTCTCGATCGACCTGTGGCAAGCCCTCATGGACCACGCCGTCGCCAAGACGCCTGGCTTCAAGGCCGGAGGGCCTTTGCTCGGCACCCCGGAGCTCGGCGAGCAGGGCGGGCTCCACTTGAGCGGCGAGGCGTATAGGGTGTTTTATCAGACGGTGCTGCCTCACATTGGGCAAGAGTACGTCGGTCTGCCTGACGACGATCGTACGGACTATGTCTTTCCAGATTGGCGGGATCTCAACCCTCCGGCGTAGGTGAGTCTGGGATGGACGAAGGAGAAGCTAATAGAGCGGTCCATGCGATGCTGCATGTATTCTGCAGGAAGCGCCGCAGTGGCATTTCAAATCAAGTGGATTCTTTGTAAGAAACTGCCCGAGTACCCAAGATGATGCTTCCGAAATAGCTAAAGCATGTGATGACGGTGGCGTACATTGTACGTTTATCTCTGCTTATCCCACTCGTAGCCTGGCCTATCTCTTCGCGTTCGCTTCGTGCCGAGCCATAGGGAGACATGCCGTCGTCTGAGACACCACCGGTAATCGCCAAGTACAGGAGAATTCAAAGCCGCTGCTGGTCTCGGCAGTACTCCGCAACGCATACTCACTCGGTAGGTACGCTGCGGGCTGTTTGGCGACAGACATAGCATCGAATGATTATTGAGATGGTCGGCCGCATATACGACTTACCCTGTCTTATACGGCTGTATTCTATTACTTCAAATGGGAAGGTCAAGATGAGAAAGTTTCTAATTTTGACTTCAGTTACGTGATCACTTGAAGATCTACAGCTCTACGTTGGGCGGATTCAATGCTCCAGTCGTTGACCTCGGTGAAGTTTCCTTGCATAGCAGTGAACAAAGACAAGGCAGAGGCAGGGTACCTAAGCAAAGCTGGAGTGCGGACGAGGTGACACCATCCTGGTAGTTAAGCAGTCCCAAGGCAGGTTTTGGACGTTTCTGCACTGGCATCTCGGGTGCTTTAGAGTTTGAGGAAGTGCAGGAGGTGAGGAAACAGCGGAAGTCACTTTGTCACTGCCAACTGAGGTACCTTAAGGTATCTATCCGTACGGAGTAAGGTAGGTGAACTGGAAATGGCGGGAGGAGTGAGGTGACGCTGAAAGTCTTCAGCACGTCCCTGGCATGGGGGGTTGGGGGGCCCCAATCAGAACATCCTACGGCGTCACACGCCGTTACCCTGTTGCGAGTTCCAGCGGTTGAATGGGCGGGAGGGCGACGACTAGACTTTCCAGGCACCGAGGTGAGGCGCGCTGCACCGAATTGCACTTCCCACAGGAAGACGGCCACAGTTAGGTACGTACTGGAAGTACTACGTAGGCACCTTGGTCGTCGCTGGTGTAATCGGCAGGCAGCTCACTCATGTACCTCTCAAGTACACCACCAGGTTCTCCGAGGCTGGGTCCAGCGTTCCCGTCGTGCCAGTCCACAAATCATCAGCCGGACCCTCCTCTTTCAGTGCTCTCATCCACCGACGTACCCACCTGAAGTGTGCAGCTTCCTGGCAACGATAAGTTGGGAGAACCTTTGCGATACTCTCTCACCCATGCGCCAAACCCCCGGGACCACACCTCTTTCGTTGGCTGGTCCACTCCCGTTGCTGCCCGTTCACTTCACCTCCATCCACGCCCGTCCGTCTCTGCTCGTGTCCTGCCCGCTTCACTATTTCAACGTGCCGGTCCAAATTAACCAGGCGGGCTTCGTTTGTCTAACCCCCGTCCTGTCGAACACCCTTCTTTCTTCACCTTTCTCTACGAAACACTCGGTCTCCTGCCTCTTCCAAAGGCCCTTTCTACCTAGACGTATACCGTTACATCGAAACAGCCGACACGCTCCATCCTGATCAATCGAGTCCTCTACGAGCCTTCAATCGAACCGGAGCATCTACCATTCAGCATCGTCCCTAGCGCTTCTCCCGTGACGACATCACACCCTTCTGCGATCGCACCCAGAGTCTTTCGCACCCACGTATCATATACGCACCATCTACGGCCGATATCCGTGTCACCAAACTCAGAACTCGCCTCAATTTCGGCGTCGAGAATATTCGACCAAATACGGAACCTCACAAAGTCATCCGTCCCTGAGGCATAGCCGCCTCTGTATACCATCGTGCAAAACTAGCATAATATCATCACCGAATACTAGCTGCCGCAGTCGAACAACTCGACTGGACTTCGAAAGAAAAAAGCTACCGCGATACGAAAAGAATACAAACCTGTGCCTGCTGCCGCTGCTGCCGTCGACGACCTAGTTGGTCTCACCGTGCGATGTGGCGGGGGAGGAGGACCTCGTGAACTGAAATCGTAGGGATCGAGGTCGGAAGAGCCCATAGCCTTCCTCGACCCGTCATTCGAACGCGCCTGGATTCGACAATAAACCCACGGGCGTGAACAACCTTCCCGAACGATCCTTACTTCCAACGGCTTTATCGATACCCACCAACTGGCGCTCCAAATCGATCACCACTTGATCTCAAGACACTCGCTTGCCGTTGTCCTTCGCTCACACCTTCTGCGGACCTACGTCCCAACGTCCTTCTGATTCCTATTTGGTCCGAGCCCTATACTGAGTTCCACACAACTGCTTTCGGGAATGGATCATCGGTTCCCCATCACCCGCGACGATCTCTTCAACATCCAAATGGATTTGAAACAAATCCAACTGGTTCAGAGTAATCAGGGCGAGAGACTAATAAGGCTCGAAAGGCGCCAGGAACAAGATGCGAGTCTCAAGTCCGTATGGCAACAGAATCCTTTCCCTGGCGTCCTTGCCGGAACCCCTCAGCAAGGTAATGTTAGATTTCCTACGGGTGTGGTTGCTTTTTGCTGACGTCCCACTCTCCAGGGCCGACTCACCTCTCACCCAACGACATGTTTGATGATTTCGACGAGCAAGGCCAGCACCTGCTGAGCTCCCTTCACTTAGGACCTGCGGAGGAGGAGCCTACCCGTCGGGGTGCTGCCTCTCGAGCCAACAGCGTACGATTCGACGAGAGTGCATTGCGGGGAGCAGCCGACTGGTCTAGTCAGAGCAATCGCCACTCTGGAGAATTCGGACCTCCCCGACCATCCAGCGGGTTGATGATGGAGCGGTCCTTGTCCCACAAGTCGGATGGGCGCCATAGTTCTGCCGGCCATTCTGTTCACTCATTTCACTCTGTGGCATCTGGGAGGGCGAGCAGTTTGGGCTTGGACACCAACTTCATGGTCAGCAGCCATGAAGACGACTCTCCGATAGACATGCCGGAGCCTCCACCAGGCCTCTTTTTTCTGGGCTCCGTACCAACCATCATCCGATGTTGGCTTACAACGAGCTTCGCCCACGATACGGTGTTGTATGCTGATCTTTGCACCGGCTCCCAGAAATCCGTGGTTGACTACTCTGTCCTCAAAGATCTCGATCTGCTGGATGAGATTCAACACGATATGGACGGCACGTACAAAGTTCGACTTCCGGTATACCTGGTAGAAGCTACTGTTTCCGAACGCAGCAGCCGATCATCGAGCCCTGGGCATTCGATGCCCTGCCTCCTCGCAACCTTTGAGGTGTCTGGCATGGAGCAGCCTGAAGGCATGGAACCGAAGAGGGGCATTCAGATTTTCATTGGCAGCGACACCCTCAGAGCCCATCAAGCCGATATTCTCCTTTCTCAAAACCGCATGTGTCTCTACGGTAGCGAGCGCGAGAAGTTGTCTGTTCCCTTTGTGCGCCCCGAGGACGAGGCTGCTTTCAAGCACATAAGCACAATCAACTTCATCCCCGAGAAGCCCCGACTCAACGCCAACGCGGCGCCTTTTGTGTCTGGAGACCCACGACCTCATGCGCCGACAACGCAAAGTGCATTGGACAGCAGCCTGTCCAGCACACAGCATGAGGATGCCGAGTCGCAGGGGCCTCTTTCGCCCATGGACAATCACTCTGTACCCAACAAGTCGATTGGAGCAAGCAACCTGTCTGAAAGTGGCGGGGAGAGTGAACGGCCTGGCAAGGATACCACCAGCGGGTCCGAATCGGGGGCAAGAGAGTACCCCACGGCGCACAACAGCTCCACCAGCGGCGAGGGAAACCGGCGCGAGTCTGCGGGCGGCATATGGGGCTCATGGCGGCAGGGCACTTCAGCAAACGGTGCCGAGAACGGGCAACGGGACGCCAACGGCCCGCTAAGCGGATATCAGCCCGCCGGGCGGGGAAGCCGGAATATGAAGGTGTTGAAGCCCCTGAAATCGGGTTCATCATCCTCTGCCAGAACTGGAGCTGCTTACGAGCCGCCACCAGCACCCAGAACCAGCGGAGAGCATCGACGCAAGAGTCAGGTTAGTGTGGCGGCAGAGAGCAACCCGCCGACCAGCGTTCGCTGGGAACCCAAGAGGTCAGTCAGCAGCACCACGGTCAACAGCACAACGGAAGTCAAGGCCCCGCGTGAGGCGAAGAATGCGGGCCCAGCTTTGCCGCGGTCGGCGAACCCTATCGGCGGTGCGTCGGCTTTCTCTTGGATGAATCCGGCTGGTAAGGCGAAGCCCACGGCAACGGCGGAGTGATTGGAGCGGAGAGAGCGCAAAGCCCCGGTGGCACTGGACGCGAAGGTGGTCGAACTCGGCCAGAGCAGTAATCTTCTTTTTCTTTGCTTTCACAATACGACTCCCTCCAGCATGAAGAGGTGTGACGGCAAGCTTCAAAACAACGCAAGCAAAGCCGACTAGTAGGTAGCCATGTAGTTTGCCATGACAGATGGGTTTCATGGCACTAAGGCTAGAAAACTCCGCCCAGCGGAAATCAAATAACAAAAATCTATGAGTTCAAAGAGTGTCCTATATTTCCCCAGGTAGCCACGCCCAACCCAGATCGGCAACTAGGACGCCCACAACGTTAGCTGCATTGAGGATCTTCTTTTGGTCCACCTCTGTGGGCCAAAGTCCAGAAAGTGATATATCAGAGGTGTTGCCGGCTCTGCTGTTCTCCAACCTGCAGCCACCCAACCAGCCAGGAGATGATTGCTATTTCTGTACTGCAGGTACCCTGCGTTTGAATTGTTGGTTGCGGTCCGTCATGGGCAGCCCAGGGTCTCTGCGAGGTCACGTACATGAATTCTTCAATGCACCTCTCAGTCTGCAGTGTCCAGAGAGGCCCGGTCCGGCACTACCTAATTTACCCCACTTGGATGCGCCGGTTCCCCGCACTGCTCCAAGGCCGAGTGTGACGTGCCGAGTCTCTAAGCTCCGAGTCACGGAATGACTGATCTTGGTGACCTTTTTTTTTTCTCCGGTGATTCTATTGATGGTCTGATTTCCTTTCCTCCCTTCCCGCGGGACATGTCAATTGCAAGGACTCTCCGGATACATCTACCTCTCACTCAACTCACACAACCTCGACCGTCCGGACTCCCATTCCGACCCCGCTTCCTGACGACCGCGAGCATGTCTGACCCCGCGACTCGCCGCCTGCAAAGGCCGGTCATTTTGTGCGTTTGATGCCCCCCCCCCCTGAATGCTTCCACACTGTCGTTACAAATACGATGGCTTGCTAACAAACGTAATGTTGTACCAGCGTCTGCGACCTCCAAGACAAGTTCCGCAACGCAATCTTCGAATTCGACAAGGTCGTAAAGACAACCTCCAAGCTCCTCCGCGCCGCAGACACACTCAAGATCCCAGTCTACACCACGACCCAGAACCGCGCCCGCCTAGGCGACACCGTCACCGAGCTCGCGCCCTACCTCCAAGAATCGGACCTCGTGCGCCCGCCCGTGGACAAGACCAAGTTCAGCATGTGGGTTCCCGAGATTGCGGCGCAGTTCGAGGGGAAGGGGAGACACGAGGTGTTGATCGTGGGCATCGAGTCGCACATCTGCGTGACGCAGACGGCGCTGGATTTGCTGGCTGAGGGGCACAAGGTGTACGTGCTCGCGGACGGGGTGAGTAGCTGTAACCGCGAGGAGGTGCCGATTGCGCTGGCGAGGTTGAGGGGGGAGGGGGTCACGGTGACGACGAGCGAGAGCGTGATTTATGAGATGATGGGGGACGCGGCGCGGCCCGAGTTTAAGAGCGTTGTTGGGTTGGTCAAGGATACGGGGAAGGATACGAAGGAGGTTTTGCAGGCTTTGGCGCCCAAGATTTAGATTTCGTGTTGTCTGGGGTTCCAAAGACTGGGTGGTTGGTTATAGATATATACATCTACAAAAGATTTCAGGCCTTTTCTATCTTCACTTCCTAGATCCATCGAGAGAGAAGATTGAGATTCGGGACTCTCTCACTCACTCAACTTCAATAGCCTTGACCTTGGCCCCTTGCAACCACGTTAGATCCCCCTCGACAGTCACCCTCCTCACCCTCGCAAGCTCATCAATAAACGCCGGCACAAACGTCCCCGGGCCCTGAACATCCGCCCGCACAGCAGCCCACTCGGCCGCAATCTCATAGTGCAACAGCCCCGCCAGCACAGCGAGCAACTTATCCTCGTCCGCCCACGCCGCCAACATAGCCGAGACGGTCGTCCCCAACACGCACCCCGTGCCCGTGATCTGGCCCAGCAGCTCGTGCCCGTTGTCCACGGCCAGTGTGCGCTTACCGTCTGAGAGGTAATCCGTCTTGCCCGTCATGAGCACCACATTCCTCTCCCTCCTCGCGAGGTCTCGCACCAGCTTGGCCTTTTGCGCCGGGGCCAGCGTAGACGACGAATCAACCCCCTTTTGCTGCTCCTGCGTCCCCTCACCCCACACCGTCTTAATTTCCCCCTCATTCCCCTTGATGAGATCCAGGTACCCGCCCGCCAGGATCGTCTTGACGGCGTTCCTCCGGATCGAGGTGGCGCCCGCGCCGACGGGGTCGAAGACGACGGGCCTGCGCGCGGCGTTGTAGGCGGATAACGCGAGGAGGTAGTTTGCGATGCCGTCGGGGGTGACGGTGCCCATGTTCACGACGAGGCTGCCGCCTAGACGAGCGAGGTCGGGGGCTTCCTGCCCGTAGTTTGCCATGATGGGGGAGGCGCCGACGGCGAGGGCGACGTTTGCGGCGAAGTTTTGGACGACTAGGTTTGTCATGTTGTGGGAGAGGGGGGAGGTTTTTGCTACGCGGGTGATTACGGAGGGGATTTGGGCGAGGAGGTTGTCGATGCTGAAATCGGCGGAGGAGGCGCTGGGACTGGAGCTGGAGGAGGTGACGCTTCGGTACGACGGGCTCGTTTTCACGAGCTCGAGGAGGTTGCGGGAGGCGGATTCCGGGTCCTTGGCGGCGACGATGGCGCTGACGAGGGCGACGCCGTCGAGGCTCGCGGGAGATGATGCGTCGGGGTTGGCGGACTGGTAGAGGACGCGCTGGATGTTGGAGGGGTTGAGGCCGCCGATGCAGACCGTCTTTACGCGGGGGAGGTGGCCTGCCGCGGCGAGCTTGGAGAGGATTGTGCGGAGGCCTGCGGTGCCGATGATGTGTTTTGTGTTTTCTTTGCTGGAGGATTGTGTTAGTGGGTGAAGCGACGGGTGACCAGGGGCGAGCGGATGAATGGGTGGGTGGATGAGATAGAGGTCCAAGAAGGTTTGATGAGACTTGAGACTGAGAGGAGGGATGTGGTGAGAGAGACGTACGTTGATGTAGCAAAGACGGTGCCGATGCCTAGGTAGTCTGCTCCATCCTCACAGGCCTTGAGGGCCTCCTCGATGGTGCTAGCCGTGACACCGATGATGGCATCCGGGCCGAGGATCTTTCTTGCGGCAGTGAGTTCTAGTTGGATGTCAGTCATGCCCCTTTCTTGGAACCCTTCTCATCTCAGCAGCACGAGAACGCATTCATGAGAAACGAAACGAGTCACCAGCTCACGAAGAAGACTTTCTCCCAGATAGAAACGGAGAAAAAAGAAGAGAGAAAGAAAGAAAAGATGTACTCACCCATATCATCCTGCCCGATATGCACACCCGCACACCCAACAGCGAGCGCGACATCGACCCGGTCGTTGATGAGCAGCGGCACACCCGCCTCGCGGCAGACGGCGTGCAGCTTCCTGGCGTTGGCGACGAGCTCGCCCGTGTCGCTCGTCTTGTCGCGGTACTGCACGATGGTGACGCCGCCCCGGACGGCGGCCGCGACGACGGACGACAGGTCGCGGTCACCGAGGATGGCGGGGGTGGAGTCGGTGACGAGGTAGAGGGAGTAGTCTACCGTTGGTTTCGGCATCGTGGGTGACTAATTATATTTTAGGTTGAATAAGGGAGGGAGAGACAGAGAAGCAAAGCCAGATGTCGAATTCTTGCCGGGTGAGGGAATATTGGATCGGAGGTGGGGATGACTGCGTTGCTTGGATCGGCGCCGGTTTTTCTCAGCGTGTAAATGCGGATACTTGCGGCCGAGGACGGAACGGCCGCTCTCCGATGGCGCCGATGGCTGCGGGACGCGGGTTGTGGTGGGGTTGTCGGTGACGACATCAACTACCTTTTTGGCTCATGGCAGAAGGATCAACCCCTATGATGCCACCTGGATCTAAACCTGTGTAAAAGCGATTCGTGAGGCCATTAATTTTATTAGTATATTCGCAGGCATCGAGAAACGAGACACTCGTTACAACGCATTAGAAGACACAATTGTGATTGCCTTGTACTGATCAATGCTATACTTCGCAATCTTCTCCAGTACCCCAATGTTTTACACAACAGGTAGCTTGAGAGATTTTAGATCAAGATTTCCGTGTGTTATAATAATAAAACTACAAGATGTATGAAAGCCTTAGTGACCCTGCTCGACTCCTTGTGAGAAACTCCAAAAACCAATACCCTCCTCCTTTCTTGGCCTCCACGTAGAGCATAATTCTTTGCGTATCTCCTTTTCAGATCGGTAGTAGTAAGAGATGGTCCGCTGAAAGACACAACACCCTCTTCTCGATGTTCCTCTGTACGTTGGTACTGTGCCAACAACTCCCCAAGGCGAGGTGGGAACTCTCTCTTTCCCATATCATAATTCATCACATTCATATGCGTCAGTCCCGGTCGGTCCTCCGCTGGTGGTAGTGTTACACAAATCCCCTCAAAGCCCCTCGTCTCCGGGCGCATGATCCGGCCAACGAACGTCAAGTGGCAGTCCAATCCATGGAAGGGAACATACTCCCGACATCCCACGTCCCAGCAGCATCCTCCCCAAGCACGCCCGTCCAAAACGACGCATCCAGATCCCGAATCATGGCCTGCGTCCCGTCCGACAAGTTGGCAGGCAGCTGAATCGGGTCCTGGATCGCCGGCTGCGACTTGAGTCCGCACAGCTCGCCCTTGACGATATCCTTGAAGTACCGCAGCATCTCCGTCAGCCTCACGAACGGATCAACCACCTTCGGCCCCGGCACATCCGTCGCTGGACCTGTCGCTTCTCCTTCTTCCCCCCTCGCAGCAGCCGCGTCCGCCGCCGCCCTCCTAAACTTGCCGCTCCGATGCGCCACAAAAACCTCCAAGTGCGCCACCTGGCTCTCGACGACCCCGCCGAGGTCGAGGTGCTTCTGCACCAGCGGCAGGTCCCACCCGGGCACCTGATCGAGCGTCATGAGCTTCAAGCACACGATGAAGACGTACAAAAAATCCGAGGAGCTGAGGCAGGTGAAGCGCGGCTGCAGGCTGAGGTGGTTGCGTGGGAAGCGGATCTCGAGAAACTGCTTGGCGGCACTGCAGCAGCCCCAGAGGAGCTCGAGACGTTCCGTGAGGGAGATGAAGGAGGCCGGGCCCTGGGCTTCGGGGATGCCGATTTCGTAGAGAAGGACTTGCGCTATGCTGATGTGCGCCAGGAGGCCGACTGTGTTTTTTGTCAGATATCCCATCCACAAATGCATACATGTTAAAGGGGTTATCTTAACGTACCATTGTCTTTGAGATGCTCCGGCAGCGACGTCTTGAAGATGTCAAGCTGCTGCTGGAAACTCTGGACGACCATGGTCAGGGGCAGCTGCAGCGACTGGAAGCTCGTGCTCTCCGTTCCGAGCGTGAGAGAAATTGTCTGCGCGAGCTGCTGGATCTTGAAGAGGTGGACCAGGAGCGCGTCGCTAGGATACTCCGCCGCCTCCTCAATCTGTCGGCAGCAGGACTCGAGGTACGTCGTGTTCATAAAGGCGTCTGGCCGCTTATTCGTCGTGAAGACGCTTCCCCCCCCTCATGGTCAGCCCTCCCCTCTCTCCCGTTCGCATAATCAGGGAGTTTACTCACAGTGTGTTGAGGTAATAACATCCAGCAAAAGCCCTCATCAGTTCCAACTGCGCCGAAATCTGCTCCGGCGTCTGCACCTTCCTCGCCTCACTCTCCGGCTTCTGGAAACTAATAGAGAGCCCCGTCCCCTTCCCGCCTCGCTCAGCCAGCTGCATGGGACTATCCTTGAAACCCAAACTAACGCACATCGACCGCGCCAGGAACAGCAAGTTCGTGAGCTGGTAGCTATTGATGTTGTAGTGATACCACGCAATCAGGAGCTGCAGCCCCTGCAGCACGTCCAGACTCTTCTTGGGCTTCATGAACGCGGCCTGCACAATATCCTGCAACAGTTCCTCCCCCAGAAGGACCTGCTTCGTCGCGTCCAAGTGGCACGCCGTCATCATGATGCCCTTCCACAGGAACGGCCTCTCGGCGGCCAGCTGCGTCGGGCCCATATGCGGAGGTACGATTACAAAGGGGTACAGCGGCTGCATGTCGTCCAGAAATACTTGAAGAACTTTGCTCTGCTCGTTGTTCAGCGGCCATGGCGACTCGTTCGCCGTCGCAGACGTAGGTCCCATCCCCGAGGCGCCGCCGTTGTCGGCCTGGCTGCTCCCGACCGTATGGTGATCATCCGCCGTAGACGCGCTCGGCGCAGGCGACGTGTCGGACCACCCCCCCTCGCCCCCGACGACGATGACCTCCTCCGGCGGGAAGAGGTGATCGCAGTTAATCGGGATCCTAGCCGACGCCGGCGCGATGCTACCGCTGGGCGGAAGCGGTGAGTTTGCGCTCCCTACGACGGTCCCGTTGGCGACGGTCGTCGCGACCTCGCTGCTCTTCCTGCCACCAACACCAACGCCGCCCTGATGCGGCTGCTGCGTCGTCGCGCTCAGCTGCGTCGTCAACTCATCCAGCCTCTTCTCCAGCTCAGAGACTTTGGTAGGCTTGGGTTCCTTCTTCGCCCTGGGCGGCGCAGGGGTCTGCGAACCGCACGGCTTGCGGAGCCTGTGGCATCTAGTTTCTCCCAGTCAGTGTTTCGTTCTCGCGATCTTGTGCGAATACGACAGAGATAACATACCGCTCGCATTTGTTACTCCCATCCGGGCCCGAGATACACCTCGCCTTAGCCTTGGCGCAAGTCGTACACGCTCGCGGGCCTTTAGTCCTGTGATCGACATCCATTTTTCTGTGGTAACTGCCAGTGTCTCTCTCAGCGTGAACTCATCAGTGGCGAGAAATAATGTAGTGAGTTAAAATCGATCAAGAAACGATCAAGTCAGAGTAAAGCACAAGACATGAAACACCACTCCTCTGTTAGCAGGAACTTCCCAATTCGCGTCGTAATCCTTTTTCTCATTTGAGTTGCCTGCCTTATTTCATGACGGATCTCCTGAGTTGCGTGTAAGTCAAGACACACACCACCCCAGTTAGCAATGACGGGGACTTAGGGGACCCCCCAACCCTTCCGTCAACCAATGAAGAGGGCTTCCTCGAACGGAGACGGAGCAATTCTGCGTTGCCGGCCTCCGTCGGAGTTGCTGAGTCAGACGTTGAGCGGGCCAAGCCACGTCTTGGAAAGTCCGCTTCTGGTGTTGGCGCGCTGGACTCTGGTAACAAGGTGTGGCACATGCCTCATGCTTCACCGTGGCAGTCCCATCCCATCTCATTTCACCCCAGCTGATGGGCGGGCGGGCACCGCGGAGACCCGTCTGGGCAAGTGCCGGGTTTACATCGGGCTGTGCTTTCCTCGCCGAGCCCGGGGACGGGGAAGACCGCATTCGCATAAATTGACTTTGCGATTCCCAAATGTCAGCCATGCATGAAGTATCCCGGCCGGCTAATTGGCTACGTCGGATGACTCTTGGCAGGTAGTAACACAAGCATCACTATATCACGTATCGACCAAAAGAAGTAGAGGTTGATGAATAAATCTGTCAATAAATAACATTCATATTTTGTAAACTATTGGTTATTGCGACCAACACTGAGAGTCAGATCCCATCATGTAGACGAAATCATCAATCTCAAATCGAAGGAGAACAGTTGTGGCCACGGGACGTGGGTTTTCAAATCACACAAAAAACTTGTTGATCGCTCCAAAGAACGTGGTCTAGGTCCGATGAGCTCCCCTTTGCTTTCAGATATCAACGTCAAAATGGTTGGCGCTGAATTTTCTCATATTGAGAAAAACCAGACAACCTCGGAGAACGTGAAAATGTATCAAATGGCAGAGCTCACGGCCTGACCAGTCGTCGCCTTGGACTCACGCTCCAGCAGGGCCTCGACGAAGCCGTTGCTGATGTTTCCCGCGGCCTTGATCTCCTTCGCAGCCTGCTCGATGCCAAGCTGGTTGTCAGTCCACAGGGGCTCCTCGGGAGCGGCGTCAGCCTCTCCGACGCCAATGAAGCCGCCCTCGGCAGCCCATTCAGAAGTACGCTTGATGCCGAGCTTGGTCCAGATCTCGTCGAGCGCCTGGACAAGCTGGTCGCGGTACTCCTTCTTGTGGCCAGGGGTGGGGGTGACGCGCAGTCTCTCCTGTCCAACGGGGACCGTGGGGTAGTTGATGGACTGCACGTAGATCTGGTAGTCCTGGAGCAACATGTCGGAAGCCTGCTTGGCGAGCTCGGCGTTGCCAACCAAGATGGGAATGATGTGGGAGGGGTTGGGGATGACGGGAATGTCGCGGTCGTTCAGGGCCTCCTTGACCGCGCGGGTGTGGAGCTGCTGAAGGCGACGGTCGCCGTCGTAGTCCATCTGGTACTCAATGGCCGTCTTTGCGCCGGCCATGGTCGCGGGCGGGAGTGACGTGGTGAAGATGAATCCGGGGGCGAGGGAGCGGATCATGTCGACGAGCTTGGCGCTGCCGGCAATGTAGCCACCAACGCATCCGTAGGCCTTTCCGAGGGTACCAGTGATGATGTCAATGCGATCCATGATGCTGCCCTTGGGGCGGCCCTGCTGATGCGCTTCAAAGTCCAGGTGCTCCGCGACACCGGCGCCATGCGGGCCGTACATACCGACGGCATGGACTTCGTCGAGGAACGTGATGGCGCCGTACTTCTCGGCCAAATCGCAAATCTCCTCGATGGGTCCGATCGATCCACACATGCTGTAAACGGACTCGAACGCAATCAGCTTGGGAACGTGAAGCGGCAGCGACGCCAACTTGGCCTCGAGGTCCGCAACGTCGTTGTGCTTGAAGACAATCTTCTTCGTTCCGGAATGACGAATACCCTGAATCATGGACGCGTGATTCAGACTGTCCGACAGAATGACACACTCGGGCATCTTGCTACCCAGAGTCGCCAGAGTGGCATCGTTGGCCACATAGCATGAGCTGAAGACGAGAGCGGCTTCCTTAGCATGCAGTTTGGCAATCGTGCCCTCCAACTCGACAGCGTGCTTGTTGTGCCCAGAGATATTTCTCGTGCCACCAGCGCCGGCGCCGTACTCGTCCAGGGTCTCGTGCATCGACTTCAGAACGTGAGAGTTGCGGCCCATTCCGAGGTAGTCGTTGGCGCACCAGACGGTAACCTTCTCCTCCTTTCCAGCCATATGGGCACGGGGGAATTCCTTGGCGAGACGGTTGATGTTGTTAAAGTAGCGGTAAGACTTGTCCTTATGCTTCTTCTCCAGCTCGGCGTTGTAGTAGGCCTCGTAATTGAACTTGGCCTTGGAAGCGTCCGAATTGCCCATACCAACAGTCGAAGCAGCGCTCTGACGAGCGGCCGGGATACCGGGAGGGGCTTGAGCTACATCAATGGTCAGCCAGGAGGATTCCTTCTTTTTCTTTTTCACACTATGGTCTCCATACCTTTGTTGAGCAAAGGAGCATCAACAGCCCGGGCATCCTTGCTGCGGCTGGTGTGGATGTTGGCGCGGCCAGGCTTGGAGTTGGTGCTCAAGGCGCGGATACCAGCAACAGAAGACGAGTTTCCCATCTTAGCAGCCGGGCGTCCATGGCCGTACTGGGCAGACTGGACAGTCAGAGCCTTGCCCATGACGGGGCAGCGGTGGGCGAGGAGCTGCAACTTGGACATTGTTCCTCCGCAAGGAGAGACGGCCGTCGTCTGGGGCGCCGCCTGAATGGCGTGGGGACGAGCCGAGGTAGACAGCGCGCGCAGTTTGGCGGGCGAGGCCGACTTCAAGAAGGGGCACATGGCCTTGGATTGACGCAGAGCAGCCTCCATGGTTGTTTTCGAAGGCTGGCAGAGGTTAGATCGTGCGGTTTCGCTTTCGAGGTTGTCGTTCAAGTTTGGTTTGTTTCGAAGCAGAGAACGGTGTGCAACTCTGGTTTTGTTGTGTGCGGTTTGTAGATTTCGGTGTGTGGCGACTCGAAGAGCGCGCGCGAGACGTGGATGCGAGTGAGGTCAGCGGGTTTGCCAGAGAACAGTGATCAGCGCTGAGGGGCTGAACACAGGTCAATGGGCAGAAAGAAGCGGTCGACTCTTGAGATCGACAATTGGGACGGTATTCCTGCTGGTGAAGAGCAGAAATAGGAAAAGAAGGGGGGAAACAGAGAGGTTAAGCAAGATGAGGAGAAAACGGGAAGGGGAAGCGAGAAAAACGAGCAGATTCTAGGACAAGTCCTTTATTTTAGTGTCTCCGGTGAAGAGTCGCCATGACACCAAATCCCCAAGGGCGCAGTGGAAGGGTTACGGTCTGGGTAGCAGGGTAGGTACAGTGTACATCGTGCCGACCGGCCGCCCCGCCATCTGGCTGAAGTTTGAACCCCAGCACCGCTGCACCACTGCACCACCCCAACGGCACGCCGCACCAGCGACTCGGCACAGGGTGTGGTAGGTGCGGCCCTGCGCATTTTTGGAGCCTTTGGGACTCTTGTGAGTGGCGGGCGGGATTCAGGCCAGGCCTGGGCAACCCGCCCCGAGATCCAACCTAAACGCATCGCATTTGTTCTAGGTTCTAGGCGGTGGGTTGGGGGTGCCGCTGCACGCGATTTTCCATCCTCAGCGTCCCCCAAAGCCAGATGGCAGGCCTGAGAGGACTGCCAAACTTCCATCGCCGCAAGGTACTCAGGTACATGCCCATCCATGGGGCCGGGGTTGTCTTGTACGGCGTTGATGGGTGGGACCCCTAAGTCCGCAAAGTGGAGTCTCCGAATACCGAAAGTCGGCACTTGAACCAATCACTGCTCGTCTATAGCCAATTTCTGATGACACCTGATTGGCAGACCAACTCGACACCGCTGCGCAAATGCGAAAGTGACCTGAGGTCAGATCCCTTTTGTCCCTTTTTATTTAATTCTCTTGGTAATACCACCCCAGTTTCGGTGTTTGCTACTGTCTTTTTTCTTCTTTGCTGCTCGCTTGAGTTCCGCGGAACCTATTTGCCTAGGTAAGTAGGTACTCCGTATGCAATACTAACCAAAGAGCCAACGTCTTCTTTTTCTTATGCCCACATGGCCTTTCTTCAAGACCCCTGCTCTTCTGGAAACACCGCTGTGGATCCTGCAAAATCAATCGTACGAACACTGCGCCGGTGTCTTCCGAGACCGAACATGACAGAGCCCGTTCCGTATAGCCTATAATACCTAGGTAATAGCTTCCGCTTCCGAAGAGCGGTATTTTTCAGAGCCAATTCCCGCAGGTACAATAGTGTTGCACGAGAGCACAACACAAAAGGGCACATAAGCTCGAGAGACACATGAAATCAAAGACAAGTAAGCAGCGAGGCAGATTCGTAGGCTTGCCTCCTAGGGAATTTCAATGTTCCAGGGCTGCAGTTGTCGTTGCCTCAGTCACCTCGTCACATCGCCAATGTCCCGCCCATGTCTCAACTGTACTCTGCCCCCCTCCTGATATTGGTGCTACCAGCGGAATATGGAGTATGGAGCCAGGAGGAGTCGTTAGGGTACGTTGTCATCATTCGCCGAAGTCACTTGCAGTCATCTCAGCTTGTTCCATCCGACATCATAAATACGAGGATACAGTCAGCCACACAAATAAAGAAGTAAGACACGGAACTTTGCGATCTCAACAAGTAGTATGTTAACTATCACTGGTTGCATCCGCCACCACGCGTGAATGTTGAGGAGTCTGGTTACCCCGAGTAAGCCTCGAGCCGAATTCCTAGGCGTACCAACTCTCAGTGTTATTGCATGCCTTTTTGGCATCAAATCATGTGACTCCTACGCCGCCCTTGATGAGTCCTCCACGTGAAATCAGAAAACCTCCAAAAAGAACGCCTCCAAAAAGGGTATCATAAAGCCAGCCCTGCAATGCCGTCATACGCCCATGCCTTCAAAGATGCCTGAAGATGCCCCCCAAAAGAAGAACTACCTGAACGTCTCCTGTAAACGCCTAGCCCGCGCACTTACAAACCTTGCCCTGCCGATGCCGACGCCGACGTTGACAACGAGGGCTCCCCTGTGCGGCGTTGTTCCCCAAGTTTTCCTTCTTCGACTGCTTTACTTGCCCATGTGGGAAGCCTGGGCGCACGATGTCGCCTTCTTTCCGCTACCTCCCGAAGCAAATCCAAATCGTCGTCGTCGTCGTCTTCCTGGAACGGATTCGCTCGGCGAACGTTTGGGGAAGGTTTGGGTATGTCGGAAACGATCTGCGGATGCTGCTGATCAAGTCGTTAGCCGCAAAAAAAAGAAGGCTTGCTGAATAATTGAGTACTGAAAGACATAAAATGCAATGGCAGAGCAATGGAATGAGAGGCGTCGGGCTCATACTTTGGGCTCCTCAGTCGTGTCTTGACCCAGCTTCAGCTTTTCGCGAAATTGGTGTTCCTGAAGCGTCGTCAACTCGTTCGAAAGATTTTTTAGTCCGTCGATCGGCGCGTACGCAAGCTGAGAGGGAGGAATATGTCCTGTGATGACAGCGGCTGCAAATCTCGGTTCTGTCATCAAGCTGCACAGCTCCTTCATATGCGAGTGGTTTGGTAACTCTCCCTCCTTCATCTCCGATCTCACGAGCCATGTCGAGCTTGCGATCCGGTCAGCCAGGACGGTCTTGTCCTCCTTGACTGCATCAGCTATCGCCGAGTCCGTTATCGTATCGAGTGACTCGAGAATTTTTTGCTTGAACTGCTCCTCCCAATTAGTGATTCCGGGCCTCTTGGGCCTCTTGACCGCAGGGGATGAGAGAGATTTGTCTCCAGGTGGGGGAGAGCTTGGTGTCTGCTGGGCCCTAAAGAAGGTATTGGCACCAGCCATGGGCATGGGCATAGGGCCAGCTACTTGAGGCTGTGATATTTGATCATGTTAGCAATGTTCACCCAAATCTGGAGGTAGACTCTACCTCTACTGATATCTGCTCAGCAGGCTGCTCCGTAGTTTGCGCATCAGAACCGGCAGTTGCAGGCTGATTCAACTGCAAGGGAGCGGCAGCTTGTTGTGTCGGTGCAGCGTCAATATGAGTTGCCAGAGCCCCAGGCACAGGCACAGGCACAGGCGTAATCTGTGGTGGCTTCATCGTATCGGGTAAGGGCTTCAAACCCTCCACCGGGTGAAATGCCTGGTATGTGTTGAAGACAGGCCTTTGAGGGAGGTTTGGAGTTGGGATTGGTGTTTGGCTGCTGCTCCCAGCCACACCAAAGGTCTGGGTGACTGTTTGTGGCATGTATGATGTTGCACCCACCAAGGCTGGGGCGCCAAGTTTAGCGATCCGCGCCAGCTCCATCTCACGATACTTCTCCGGGTCGGTGTTGCGGATAGAATTCATGTAGACCTGGTTCTTCACGTCCTTCAAGTCCTCAGGTGTCAAGATCTCGGACGTATCTTCCTCTTCAAAGGTATCCGTCATGATGATCGAGCGGATGCCCTGGGACATGCCCGGGTGGGTCAACAGGCTGTCGAGAACAACGTCCTTGCCGGCGAATGGACTGAGATCATCCTGATCGGGCTCCCAACGGGTCTTGGCGTACTCATTATCTTTCTTGGACCATCTTTTCGGATTTTCGCTGTCCACAACTCTTGACGCCAGTTGGGTCTTGAATACATTTCTGTTGTGAAGCGCTTGTTCGTATGTCCCGCCAGATATGAACTTGTAAACATATACTGGCTTTCGCTGGCCAATGCGGTACGCTCGACCCACCGCTTGCTGCTCGTGAATGGGATTGTACTTGTAGTCGAAGATGACCACGCGACTTGCGCCGTGGATGTTCAAGCCAACCCCACCAGCTGTCGTTGAAATCAAATAGACTTGATTTTCACCACTGTTGAAGTTTTTGACTTGTTGCTGCCTCTTATGGATTGGAGTGCTACCATCCAGCCGAGAGAACTTTCTTTTTTGTTGTCTGAACAGATTATCCAGATAATCCAGGGTCGGTATTGATTGTGAGAAGACGAGAACTTTCTCATTCATCCATATGCACTGGTCTAGAATGCCGACGAGGAGCTGCACTTTCCAAGACAAGGCAGGCGAAGGCACATCCTGCTCTCGTTGCAGGATTTTCAGGCCCTCGCTGATGATTGTGCTCGATAGAGTCAGACTAGCCGGCTCTTTCTTTAATAACGCCGCACGCTCCTCAAGCAGTCTCTTTTGCCAGCAACGAGGGTGGTTGACGATGAGGCTAAAGTTGATGTTGGCACCCAGAGTCTTGACGCCTGCAACGTTCGCGTCATTATTGAGGGCGTCGAGGAAAGCGTCGTAGAGCTTGCCCTGAAGTGGCGTCATGGGAACAGTAAGTACAAATTCCATCTTTGGCGGAAGGTCGTTCTTGAGGCATGATTTGATCGTTGCTCTGTTCGTCTTGGGCGCTACAGTAGCCTCCAAAACAGCAAGTTGTTTCTTTGCCTTTCGATATTGACTTCCAGTGCTATCCTCGTAGAGGCCAGACTGAATCGGTTCGGCATAGTAGTCCTTGAACTCAGCCAGGGGACCCAAATAATTAGGTGCGACCCAGTTGATCATGCAATAGAATTCTATCACATTGTTTGCCAGGGGGGAACCGGTGAGTGCGATGCGTCGTTGGGTTTTGAATTTGGCGGCTGCGATAGCTATCATCGACTCAGGGTTCTTCATTTTGTGAGCCTCATCCGCAACAACGAGGTTGGGGCTTTCTGTGAGTATCTGCGCAATCGACTTGGCCTCCAGAGGCGTCAGCATCTCGTCCCCCGAGGGAACGGCCAATCTTTTGAACATATCGTAGCCAATGATCATAACGCCCCCGGTTTTATCCCATTCACGGATCATGGGAGCTCTCTCTAGTGCGTTGACGACAGCTTCCATTTTGTAGAAGTGACCCAGGACACCATCAGGAGCCCACATCAGCAGCTCATCCATCCAGTTGTCGACAAGTAAGGCCGGGCAAAGTACCAGAGTCTTAGACTGTCTAAGGTCCTCCGGAATCTGTGACAGAACAGATTCGTCCTTTGACCGAGCGGCCTCGGCGATGGCAACCAGTAACGTGATTACCTGCATGGTCTTGCCCAGTCCCATGGTGTGAGCGAGGAGACATCCCTGCCGCACCTTGGCGTCGTAGACGATCTGGTTCCACAGGAAGCGGACACCTTCGATCTGGTGGTCCTTGATACGTTGACCGATTTCGCTGTTAATGTAGATCAGGCCCTCGTCATCTCCCTTGGTTTCGTTGATAATGAGACGTGACTTGTCGCTCGAGATGGTGTCGGATGCTGCCAGCTTCTTGCGCAATTCCTTTCGTCGCTGCTCTTGCTCTTCTCTCCGGCGTCGGTCACTTTCACGGAGATCCATAGCGGTCTGATCCATGGCTACCAAAGTCTTCCGTTTCTTAGCCGGAGAATCTTCGATATCGTCGTCGGTAAAATCTCCTTGGGACTCTCCAGTATCAAAGCTTCCACGGCGGTCAGAGCTGCTGGCTCGGATACCCTCAGGAAAGTTGGGCAGTATGCCAGTCTTGACGAATTGACAGAAATCCTCAAACTGATCTACCTTACCCTTTATCTTCCTGGCCTTGATTTTGTTGGTAAGCCTTCTGGTGATGGTATTGGCAGCTGCCGGCTTGCAGAGTGCAAAGACTCTGAACAAGCGGGCGACGACGGTGCCGAGCTCGACCGCACTTTCTTGGCTATGATTTTGAGGCGAATCCTCAAGTGCGGTGATCACGAAGTCCGTCCAGATATCAGCGGGATCCATGCTGTGGATAATGCGAAAGAAGGCCACTCTCCATCGCGGAGTAAGCCGTGAGATGACGCAGATCAAAAGTCGCTTGTTGTCTCCTTGCTTTCTCCATATCGTCGGCGCGATGTCCCCAATCTTTCCATATTGGTCGAATGGGGTTTCTAGCTGTTCCTGTGTTGGCTGTGGCTGCTCTTCACCATCGCTTTCAGGGGCTGGTGTTGCGGCGGCCGATGCTCTTGGCTTTTCAGGCGTGACTAGAGAGATGAAATCCGCCTCAGGAAGCGCAGGCTCAAGCTCATGCTCAGGGGGTGCGGGCTCATTCTCAGGTTCATCCTCAGGCTCGGAGTCAACCATTGTCAAGTCGATTATGCCAAGGTCGGACTTCATATCGACCGGAGCGTCGGCTGGAGACTCGTCCTTGAGCAATCGCGGAGGTTGAGGCCCCTGCATTGGCACCTCTTCAGGGTCGTCCAAATCCATGGGACCTGCTGGGCGAGTCGCGCTCGCCACGGGCGGGAGCGCGTTTGCCATATCGTCAACCCCCTCTTCATCGTCAATCACGAAGTCGTCGTCGTCGTCATCGTCGCCGCTGGTAATAAGATCGCCATCCTCGTCAGAGAGATCGGGCCGTGGGGCCGCAATTGGCCGTTGCTTAGGCATCGTCAGTGGTCGGATAGGTTCGGGTCCTCGCAAGGTATCGAGAAGCCACTTTTCAGCGCTCCGGTCCTCAACGCTAGACTCAAGGCAGCGTGCTTGTCTGCGCAGCTGATCTTCGGCCGGCCATTCGTTCAGCTTGATTTCTCGACAAAGCTTTTCTATGCGGTTGTTAAGAGCCTCGAGTCGAGATGTGGCACTCGCTATCTGTCGGACAAGACCAGTGCGTCGGGCCTTGTTCCAGATGGCGTTGGCTTTCCAATACTTTTTGATTAGTTTTCTCTCTTCCCAAGAGGCTTCAATCCGTTGTATCTCCTCTTTTAGTACACGCTCGACATCATCCGAAGTCAGGTGGTGAGACTTGAGTTCCATTTCTCGCTTTTTCTCCTCTTCCTCTTCCTCGATGGCGTCCCTTGTCTCTGTGTCGTAACCTTCGTCGTCATCGGAGTCCCCGAATACCGGAAGAATCTCGTCTTCCTCCTCAGGCTCCACAAAAGGAGACATACCATTGCGCAACAATATCAAAGACTTGTCGTTCATGCGCAATAGTCGTCGCAACGCTCGGTGGACTTGTCGACTGTGTCCGGTGGGAATCAAGCCCCTAGCAACGAAGTGGAATGTGTTTCTGCCTTCATCTGCGGAGCTTGTACCAGGTGCAAGGCTTGACTGAGGGACTTGACGGCTGATAATGAACGCATCGGGTCCAAAGTACGCCCCCAGAGGATTGGATCTTGAGACAAGCTTCTGGTCCACTTGCTGAGGATCCGGATGGATTTTTCTGGAAGCCACAGGCAACGGAGAAGGCCTTACTCTTGCTTTAACGAGCTCCCGAGAGATAGCGTCGTCTGTTACAGCTGGGATGGCCGGCGGTGTCCTTCCGCGGCTTCCGCTGGGGGTCGTATTCGACAAAGGTAGCCGGGTATCTGCTGTCATAGACTTCCGAGTAACAACGTCGTCGGCCGGGGTCCTGATAGGTATGTTGCCAATCCCGGTAACAGTACTAGTGATCAAAGTTGGCGCCATCTTTCTCTTCTTCTGAGGTGGTTGACTCGTCTGCATGTCTTTCTCTTCAACGACGGAGGCCAATGCACCTTGATCCGTGGTGCCATGCATCGTGACATCTTGCGTTGTGATAGTCGTTGGAGGGTCCTCTGTGGTACTGGGATTTAGAGCTGCGGGCTCCGGTTTGCCGTTGATATGCAGCTCTAGCGAGCTTTCCTGGCTACCTGCCTCCTCTTTTGCCACTTCAATCTTCTGATGTCGATAACCGTGGCTTTTCGACTTGAGATAGTTGATGGCTTTGACAATCGTCATCTTGTGAACGATTTTGACGATGCCTAGGTCCCTGAGAAGACCGTCAAGAGGGGGCATGACATCTTCGTAGGTGAGAAGCGTCTCCCCGTCAATGTCATGCTCACGGAGTGCTTTTGAGAGGGTTGCCGGGTTGGGCCTCTTGCTCGCAAGTTTCGGATGCCATGGCCGACTTTCAGCGGTGCATAGCTCATGTACCAGCCGTTCAACATCCCAATCGAAGGGATCATCCTCATTGCCCTCCATGGTGGCTGCCGTTTAGGACATGAGGTTGGCTAGAAATTGACAAATTAATTAGCACCAGACTGAGAAAAGAGGGTATGAAGGAAGCAGATCTCAGGCATGGGTAGTGGAAACAGAGTTCAGTGGTCAAGCGAGCTTGAAGCAATGTGTATGAAGGTAGGTTGTGAGAGAAAAAGGCGAAAAGCTTGAGAGATAGCTGCAGTGATATGTAGCGACCTCGGAAGTATGTTCCACTGGTGAAGGAATATGATGAAAGAACCAGTGTCGGGCTTTGGTGAGAGAAATAGACAGCAACAATTGTGAAGCCAGACTTACGGCGAATTTCGAGGCGGGTAACAAAGCGCATGAGTGGTCCTGGGTCGAATGCAGGGGAGAAGAAGGTCGTGCTGACTACCTGTTTCCAGAGCTTGAGCTGTATCTCTGAGGCCTGGACAGTTCGAGAAGTCTCGACAAAAATGAGGATGCGTTTGTTCCGCCAAATAAGAGGTAGTCGACGATTGTGAAGAAGACTAGCCACTAGTGGAAGTTGAGTGGTGGATACGGGAAAGACTGTGTAAAGGAGATACCGAAAGAAGGATGAGGCGGGTCAACCAAATTTGGGTCAGGCCAGAGGGAGGGCGCCTGGATAGTGGTGGTTGTGGTGGGAGGGAGTCGTGGTACTAATCTCGAGGAAGTTGTAGGCATTGCCGCTTCGGTTGCCAATGTCGAATTCACGACGCGTGAGTCTGGAGAAGTCGCGGAAGTCGCAATGGACCTGCTCAAGCCCCACCTTCCCTGGTCAAGCAGGCCCGCAGGGTACCTCGCCTTGAACGCTCTGGATGAAGGCAATGTATCTTTAGGTACCTATGACCCTAGGTATGTACAGCTAGTCCAAATAAGGTTAGATCGCTTGCAGCACGTCCCCAACGACACGTGACCGATCATTCGGGCTCGAGATTAAGTAAGACACCTTAGCAGACGGGAGGTCGCTCCTGCCCCTGCGAAGAGCCGAAGTCCCTTATCGGAGTAGGATAGAGGGGTAAATCGCAGGCACCGAACTGACCTCCAGGCTTCCGACCCCGCCATTATTTTGTTTGCATTTCCATGAGATGTCTATCGTTGCCTTGAAGGACTTTGGTAGAGACGGCCCAAGGTCTGTTAGTAGAGTTAAAGCCGATTACCCAATATTTGGATTTAATCTCCAACTACTTGCAAATATCGTTGAGCTTCCGGGTAGCCTGAAGTTAAGTCTTTGCTTGTAAACCCTCCCCACTTAGATTGATCACGTCTTGTGTGCATCGTACCTGCCAGCTGAGGTACAGTGGGAGGAGTACCAGCCATTTGAAATCCAGACCAGCAGTTCATGGTGGGGCAGCCGATTTCTCGTCACTCCCACACCAGACATACCTCACTGACATGAACACTCGCTCCTCATTTCGTGATATCTGACCCTCACAAAATCTCAATAGACTCAGAAACTGGCCTGAGTCTCTTTCTCTTTCAGACCAAAGTCAGGCCTGTCTTCATCTTCCACGAAGAGTCTTTGACCTTGACAATTTGTTGCTCTTTCTGCGCACAATCGACTTGATCCATCCACTTGCAATTATTAATCACCAAGTCGCAACAACACCAATTCATCTAATTTCGGGACCATTGTAGCTTGCAGTCGGGGCTCTAGACTCAGTCTCATCAGGAAAATTTTCACCAGCAGCATGGCAACTCCGACGCTGACGAGGGAGCAGTACCCGCCCCGGCTCTCCCAGTCGGAGCAAGACGCCCTCGTCCAGACCGTCAAGGACTGGGCTATCGGCAATGGCTTGTCAGTCCGGCCGCCTCCTGCGGTCGTGACGCCGGAGTCGGACCCTAAAGGTATCCTTGCGGTCAACGTGCCCGTTACCCTGTTTCCTAGTCCTTTCCCCAAGGGATGTTTCGAACAGGCGAGATCAGTGCAAAAGACGTATAATGAGCTCTATGCCGCCATTAGCAGAGATGAGGAGTTCCTGAGTGCCATGGTGGATGAGTATGTTTACACTCCCGCTTGACAGTCACGCATCAAGTGTAGTATGGACGACCATAAGAAATGATTCTGACAATGCGTAGGGTCAAGGGAGGCGACGACTTCATTGGCAAGCTGTGGGATACCCATGTGCGGGTGAAGAAGGAGGGATATACTCAAGTACGTAGTCTACCGATGCTTCAGGCAATGAGACTAACAATACACAGAGCCTCTCCTTGGGACTGTTCAGATCAGACTATCTTGTCCACCAGGATACCTCTTCAGGCCAACCTAAACGCCAAGTCAAGCAGGTCGAGTTTAACACGATAGCTTCATCCTTTGGTGGCCTTTCATCCCGGACCTCGCTCCTCCATAAGTAATCTCACACATCTCAGAAGGAAAAAGAAGCCCAGGATACTAAACGCACATAGGTTCCTTTCCGTGGCAGAGTACCCTCTTTTGGATCATCCCATCGAGTCAGGGTCCCTCGACCTGCCTGAGAACAAGAGCGTCCAAGACCTCTCCGGCGGCATCCGCGCCGCCTACGATGCCTACGGCCCATCGGAGCTCGGTCACAAAAAGTGCGTCATCTTCGTCGTCCAGGGCGGCGAGAGAAACATCTTTGACCAGCGCCACCTCGAGTACGCCCTCGTCAACGACGCCGCCGACCCCGTCACCGTCTTCCGCATCCCCTTCTCCGAGCTCCTGCAGCACACCACCGTCGCCGACACCCCCAAGCGCCAGCTTTTTTACAAGCTGCCCCGGGACCCGAGCAAGGTGTTCGAGGTCGCCGTCGCGTACCTGCGGTGCTGGTACGACCCGTCCGACTACCCGGACGACAGCGCCTGGGAGGCCCGCTACCACCTCGAGAGGTCGTCCGCCATCAAGTGCCCCACCGTCCTAACCCAGCTGGCCGGCAGCAAGAAGATCCAGCAAGTCCTGGCGACGCCGAGATCAGCAGCGGCGGCGGGTGGTAGTGCCTCGCCCTCTGTCCTCGGCCGCTTCATCCCCGACGACGCGCCCAGCACGGCCGCGGTGTTTGAGACCTTCACCAACATCTTCCCAATGGACACCTCTGAGGCCGGGCTCAAGGCGCGCAAGATCGCGCAGGACCCGGAGCTGTGCAAGAGCTACGTCCTCAAGCCCCAGAGGGAGGGCGGCGGCAACAACCACTACCGCGAGGACATTCCCGAGTTCCTGAAGAAGACGCCCGAGACGCACTGGGGCTCGTACATCCTGATGGAGCTCATTACGCCGCCCAAGCAAGACAACATCATCCTCCGCAACGGCAACCTCGAAGAAGGCGGCGTCATCTGCGAGCTTGGCATCTACGGTACTGCAGTGTGGGATCAGGGCACCGGTAAGGTGGTTCACAACGAGGAGGCTGGCTATCTTCTCCGCACCAAGGGCGATACTAGCAACGAGGGTGGTGTCGCTGCGGGTTTTGGATGCATGGATAGCTGTACGCTCGTCTGAGGAGAGCACATCTGGTGGATTAGATTATCATAGAGCCGTTGAAAAGTTCCCACGCATGACTTGAGTAAAGCTTTAAATGGAAGAAAGGTTTCGAGCAGCCACAGCAAACATAGTACAAGATCACAGAGTGAGAGGAGCAACCCATGGTATCAATTATCGTCCTAGAAAAAAGAGTTTTCGTACAGCACGCCTCAACCAGCCCATTTATCAGGTCATTGTACACAAAAAAGATGAAGGAAAATCTCGATAGAGTGGAGATAGAGAGAAGAGGGAGGCCAGTTCAGGTCAGGGTCTCTTCAAAAGTACACTCGTCTGTCGTTCGATTCGTACATGGCACAAGAGAAACTCCGTTTGTTGTATTGGGGTGCATTTACTCGCTGGCCTCGCCGCCGTTGTTGCCGTTGTAAGGACGCTTGAGGACCTCGATAGAGCCTATGGCTTGATGTTAGCGTACTTCCATCTCTGACTTGGAACCGGTTCGCAACGGGATGGTATGTTGAGTGGGAAGAAGAAGGAGACGTACGCTGGATAACGCTCAGGGAACTGCGGTTCTTGCCCTCGGCATCTTGGTAGGCGCGCATGGCAGCTTCGCCCTCGACGTAGACCAGAGTTCTATTTCAACACGTTAGCACGCTCTAAAACTCTGCAAATATCTTTTCCCCCCTGTCTCCGCCCAGCCTCCCTTCAAGCTTATCATTGCGGCGTGGAGGTGGGTGCATGCGTACCCCTTAGGCAAGCTCTGGAGGAAATCCCGACGGGGACCCTCAGCCTCGAAGCTCGTCACGCGGAACCAGCTGGTCTGGCGGTTATCCTTGGGCCCGCTGTTGCTGGCGACGGCGTATCTGATAATCTCGCGGCCGGTGCTGGTGGGGACGACCTCGGGGGCGTCGGCGAGGTTGCCGACGATGGTGATGCGGGCGACGTTGTTGGACGGGGTGGTGCTGAATGCGCGGGCGGCGGAGGCCATGCGCGGGGCGGCGGCGGCGCGGCGGAAGAGGGCGGAGGCAGACATTTTTTGCTTGGTTTGTAAATGTGTAGAGCAAGGGACTCTTTGGCTGAAAGGAGTGTCGAGAATGCGAGGTGGAGGACGGCAAAAGATGGTGTTGAGGTGTCGAAATTGGCGAGATACTCGTTTGGGGGGAAGCTAAAGTGCCGGCGTGGGAGCTGTCGATTTCGTTCGCGGTGGGCGCGTTCCATCGACGCGGTCCAGGGGGAAGCACACGGCACCTCAGCGTTATGCGCTGTAAAAGTGGCCCGTGCGTAAGGCGCCAGGTCCCTGGAGTTCTCGCATTGACCCCTGAAATTGGATCTCGTTTTATTCCTATAGCGGGGTTGTCTAATCGGAGTTAATCGCTTTACCGGACGCGCCAAATGAAGGATGAGGAGTATCCAACCTTCACATCGTCTACCAATCTTCGATGTGCTTGGAAGCTCCTATTTGGTTGTCTTTTGCGAGAAATCTTGTTTAAACTCCTCTTGTGTCTCATAGACAGGAAACGCTTATCTCCAAGGCCAATCAATATCTTGGTGTGAATACAAGGCCATATACGGATACAGAAAACAAAAAAAGAGTTCACCACCGGTGTGGCTACATCTCTTGGTGCTCATGCTGGGATTCGAACTCGGGCACTCTCGTATGCGCTGAGCCTGTCGTCGAGTAGGCTGATTGGCGTGAATAATTGGCGACTATGAACCATTCCACCACCCAGCCAGTTTGACCTGACCCCCCGACCTAGAGGGGCGCCTGCTGTGCTGGTGACTACCTTAGATTGGAGTTGAGGGGGTATATATGGGCTTCCCTCCTGCGTGTATTTAGGTTTCTCGTGTATTTTCCAGAGCTATATCATAGTTTCGTAGATGCCTTAGGTAGGTATTTTTAACGTACCTTCGCAGGTGTTCGGCCAGATGAATAGGACTGGTGGCCAATACATCGTTTTCACTCGCTCTCAGCATGCATATTTTACATGGAAACGACACATGCAAGGTCGAGCTTCCTACCACCGCGCCTAGCAAGAGGCGGCACGGAAACGATATGGCATCCCAAAGGACACCGCACACAGCTAATCCATGCGTTGTAATACGCAGGAGCGCTCTAGCCGTGCTCATGGACAAGAATGAGCATAGCCCAATGCAGGTTGAGAGGTGCCACATCAAGGACAACACACTGAGAGGAGCAGAGATTTGCAAAGTTGAAAGAAACGAAGTTTTGAAGCACATCAGGTATCTAAACAAATTACAGGGCCCCCCCGAGCTCATGTGCTCCTACTTCATCATCCCGACGATAGACGGGTTCCCCTCATCTCAGGATCGCTCCCATTCCGCACGTTCTGGCATATAAAGCACATAGGTTCACCCAAAAGGTGAACTTAAAAAAAAGCGCGTAAGAAATCATTTGCTTCACATTTCGTGACTGTCCCAGCCAAGGGATCCTAAAACTCCGCGCCATGCCTTGGTATAAGGTAATAGTAGTAGTAGGGGGTGGGTAAAGAGTAAAATAACCCCGGGTAGTAGTAAATGGATATCGAGTGCCTCGTGAAGAAGTAAGGCTACGGTCGTATAAGCTCATGTCGGTTCGTCCCACAGGCCGCGGCCGATCCGTGATTAGAAAGAGTGTACGATGAAATACGAAGTCGAAGGGAAGTAGGTTGTTAGGCAGAGGACAGACAATAAAGTCGCCTTGCCATATTATGATGCCATCACGGCGGTTGCCGGCTCCATTGGCAGGCTTCCAGACCTTGAACCGCCAGGTGTGCTAGGAGCAGGCGCGATTTCCGGATCTGGAATTTGGATGTCGAGCTTTTCCCGAGTTAGTACAGTATTGCATGTGGGTTCGGCGACTTGAACTTACTGTCATGTACCCCGTCTTCCTCAGTGAAATGATTCGTGGGGCCATTGAACTGTCTTCATTGCCGATTGTCTTTTCCATCTCGTTGTTCCACTGGTCAATCCAGCGTTCCAGGCGCTTCAGCCGAGCTTTGACACCTGTAAAGCCCAAATCATCCCACAACCAACCCGTAACGAGTCCGAGCATGCTATCGACCACGTTTCTCCAGTTGTATGGGCTGAATATAGGAATGAGTTCGCCGTTGAGCTTGTCGATAATCCTCCGGAACTCTTGCTCTGACAAGCCGGCCGGATCCAAGATTTCAGGATACAAGTTGGAGAACGTCGGAGCCAAGTCTCCCTCGATCAACCAGTCTCGGCGTATGCGGATGATTCGAGTATTGTGGTACTCTGGCGAGTCGAGAGGAACGTGAGGGTTCATATGGGGGAAGCAGGGGTGTTGCGGACCCCATTCTTCGCCCAGATCCGGCGGCAGTTCCTCTCCCATAATCGACGAGTTTGAAGATGAAATGGCCGACCCAATACCCATGCCATCGCCAGCCGACACATTTGAATGACGTGGAAGCACATCGGGCCCGCGCTCCAAGTCCCTGGAAGTCCCTCGCCCCTGATTCTCTGCGCCTGGCTCCATGGTTGCCTTTCCTTTCCCTTTGTCGTTGAGTGTTATGGCAAAATCTCGTATAACTGGATCAGAAATACTCTGCCCACGTTTCCTCAAACCAGTCACTCGAGTCTCGGCAGAAGGTTCCGCAGGTGCTTCTTCTTCCTCGTCGGCGGGGTGAGCGTCGGGATCGAAGAATGTTGGCGAAGGATCAGCGGACCTTCGTCCGTCGTATGAATGGCGCACTGATGGTGGTAGGCTGATGCGATGCTCTGCACCACTCCCACTGCGATCGATTTGGAGGCTATTTCGATTCGATGTCGAATGTCGCGTTTGGCGCTGCTCCGGGAGAGTCAGCAGCGGATAGTCGCTTGCGCCGATGCCGAGAGGGTCAGCAGGGTCGACGGACAACGGATCGAGAGTCGGATGCGAGAGAGGAACGGCGGGAGGAGGCGGTGTCGAAGGGCGTCTTTTGCGAAGAGCAGGCTTATCGGGAAGGCGTGGTGTAGAGTTGGTTGGGTTCCAGAGGCGAGCAGCGGAAAGGTGAGGGAGTCGACGGGCCGCAGAAGAGGCGGCGCGATTGCGAAAGGGAGACTGCAGGAAGTACTCTTTGGGGTCGTATTGGCGTAGCAGGGATGGAGTGTGAGCTTGGGGCAGGGCGGCGGCGTGGGCGGCTACTGGAGTCTGAAGGTCAGGCGAAGCGCCGGGATATGTGGGCTGCTGCGAAAGCGTTGTGATGCGAGGATTTGCGAATGCATCTACGGTGGCCGGTGACGGAGACTTGTTTCTCGCGTGTGAAGCCGTGGGGAGAATGGTTTGACGAAGGCCGCCGTGAGGACGACGGCCTTACGGGGCACGGTGGAGAACGGGTCTTTTGGTTGTCGAGGAGTTTGCAGCAGCGCCTGGGCCAGGCTCGTCAAGGTCGCCAGGGCCTCTTTAAGCGGCAGCGGCAGAAATGGCAGCGGCGATGTCGACAACGAACGGAGCGATTGAATTGGTCGCCGGGTTGGAGGGGAGGTTGAGGGGATGGTATTGGGGAAAAGTCGACCAAGGAAAGCGTCGCGCAGGAACAATGGGTGCAGCAACAGCAGCAATAGTCGTAGGTGCAAAACGATTAGGTTTGCAGCTAGATATGTGGAGACCCGGACAAAGAAATGCGTAGGCGACGACGTGCAGACGGTGGCTCGGACTGCAGCTTTGGCTTTCGCTTGAACGGTGGTGGTGGTTGTTTTAATGCAAGCGTGGGCAAAGCGTCCAATGGTGAATGGCAGAGGGAGAAGCGGACGAAGAGCGTGATTGGTAGCAGCAGGCTCAAAGGTCAAGGCTGTGGTGGTTGTGGATGTGGATGCGGATGCCCGTGTGGATGCAACGGTGGTGGTGAGGGCGAGGGTGGTGGTGTTGGATATGAACCGAGGAAGCAATGGATAAGTGCTGCAAGTGAAAGTAGTGAATAGTGTGAATAATTGCGCCCGAATGAGAGTGCAGGTCGTCCAGAGGTTGCAGCTGAGCGGTGACTGTGAGGCGGCCGTGGAGTCGTGAAAAGTGGAGAGTACGTTCAGGGGGGAGGAGATGGCCGAGATTGGGTTCCTGGAGGCTCTGGCTCTCAGTCCCAGCATTTTGGGAAGCCGCTCGTTGGAGGGAAGCAGGGGGGGACCTTCTTTGAAGTTCCCTCCACTGCCCTGAGCCCGAGAAACCCGCCCACTCTTACCGGGCAGTTGCCAGTGAGCAGGCAGGAGCTGCGCTTTCTCTGCCCAGAAAGTTGGGAAGGTGGAAGGAAGCGTGGGAAGGAAGGTACGGAGTACGGATAGGAACGTCGGGCTAGGCTCTAGCTCCTTCCCAAGTTCTCGCTCGTTGGATGCCGCAATGCGCAGGAACGGACGGCAGGATCGTCCTTTCTCTCGGTGACTCTGCGTTGTGGTTCCTGGCTCCTTCCTGCTGCTCGAATTGTTTGGTTCGGATCCTGTTGGCCCGGGATCAACGTTCCTGCAGCTCAGTGCCCACTTCACTCCAGCTGCACTTTTCAAATTCGTCGCCTTCGTCTTGACCGTCGAACCGTCGTATATTCGCTATCGTCGATATCTGTTCCAGTCGTCGTCTCTTCTTGATGCTGCTTCGTCGTCCAAGCTATCCCAACGTCTGTTCACTTATTCGCCGGTCTTCCGTGTTCTTCTCCACAAGAAGCAGAAAGCACAGTCAACCGCATCAATGTCGTCGTCGTTGCTCAAACGCTCTCCCGCTGTGGAACAATCAGTAGGGCTGTTTGATGTCGGCCGTGGAAACTGTCGCAGGAGGGATCGTGGGTTGGAGAGAGACAATCGATGAATAGTAAAGCCAAAGTTTCCCGTCAGGCTTTACAAGCGGAGTGGCGCAGGATATATCGACAAACACTGGCCTTGCGAAGCGGTTCCTGTTACAGATACAGGATTTGAGGATTCCGCCGGTGCTTCATCCGTCGTTTTGTGGAGGGTCTTGGGTCTTGAGTCTCGCACCAACGACGAAAAAGCGAAAAAAGAAAATCTAGACACGGCACGACACGACACGAGATCCCTCTCCAACAATCCGTCCCCAGCCCGTCAATATATGACGACGGCCTGCCTCGCACACAGCTACCACCTGACTTCGATGGCGCTCAGCCTGGCAGGTGCCTCCCTGTCTTCCCAGCCAACATCCAAGGTGCTTTAAATTGTCTATTTTCGATCCTGCAGAGATTTCTAGCCGGGCTCGCCTTTGTCCTGACGGCGACACTGCACTCCATCAATCTTGGATCCGGGTGACGCACTCTAAACCTCCAGGACCCATCAAACCATCCTGGTTGTCCTTGCTCGCCGAGGCCACCAAAAACCAGGGTTCAGACCGGGTTGTCCGCGTCGGCAGACACCAATTTGCGCCTTGTTGTCAAGCCCGTCTTGCCCAATGGCACATTGCGGCGCAATTGCGAAAAAGGATTTTGTGGCTCTCCCGTCCTGGCGCGTCGAATCAACGCGACATCGGGATGAGGGAGACAACAGTCTGCCGTCCGAGGCTCCGAGCAATCCTTCTCATGCCCTCCCTACGATGTGGGCAATCCTATTCAACAAAAAAAGCCTGGACTCTGGAGCAGCAGCTCGGCTCTTGCTTCGTAAGCAGCAGTGTGTCGCGCCGAGTGTCCCCAGCAAACTTCCAACGGGCGAGCGGTGCCCCCGGATTGTCAATTGCTCTCGAGCCACCTAATCGCGCGGCCATTGTCTTGTGTCTTCGCGATGATCAAGCGGCTACCGTCGCACCTCTTCTGTCTGTGCGTGACGACTCCTCAACTTGACTGATGAGTGATGACAAACAACCCAAGCATACGGTTCCTGAAAGTGAAAGTGGGCAGCCAGAAACTTCAGTTAGAAATTGCTGCACTCCAGCGTCACAGTACTTTCCCTTCGTGTTGCATCCGCCTACCCAACCGACCCAAGACATGCCAATATCACCAGGCAAATAAGCATCAATAGGGAATGCCGATCTACGAGGCAGCCAAATTCGGATGCTCATAGGTTCAATCGATCCATCTTTAGAACGGCAGATGGGACTACTGTTGAAGAGTTCAGGTTTGGAAAGCGGGGCGCCAATACCACCAATCTCTTTACAAGCTTACAGACGTACAACCATGGTTGCGGTACGCCTGAAGGGCTAGCGATGCATTGCTGATCCTGGTTTAGTGGACAATTTGTGGTGCTAACGGTGATCTTGCAGTTCCCGACAGAGCCGCCTTTCGAAATATGCTCCTTGAATGCATTGCCTTTTGCTTTGGCGGAACATGGTAAGCACATGTTGAGGACGATCACATAATCCAGGGCCAGTTCTACAAGATAGCCTCAGCGATGCTTGCGGGGATTGGGGCATCCATTGTTCAGACTTTTGACGTTCCTTTGCCTGCCACTCACACAGACCTGTTGTACCCTGCACAAATCAGACAGTGGGAGTAACCATCTAGCTCGTAAGCGGGAGAGACAGGCTTCTCAGCTGTTCCGGCTTACCATTGAGCTGAAATGGGACGAGCGTATTGTGCCATTGGTCCCCAACCAAGAGATTCAATCGACCTCAGCTCTCTAATTATCTGATAGTATTGAGGTCCATCACAGAACACGATGGCATGGAATAGCTCAATCGGGGGAAAGTATCCAGCCACGCAGGTCCATGGAACATGATTCATCTGGCAATCTCCTTCCAGTCAGGGGAATTTCACGAACCTGGGGATGACTTGTCTCACTCCAGATGTCGTATCGGTGGCTGGCAACAAGTATTGACGAGACATACGCAAAGACCAGCATGGAGAATTGCGGGGTTCCGTCTGACACCCGTCTCTTAAACATATTTCAGCCAGCCCCCGTCTCTTTCTGTGCAACCGCGCCTGTGGAGGTGCATTACGGGATCCCAATCTGTTACGAAATCGGTCTGTCTTTTCGTTTGCCATAAGGACGAACTGCTCATGCCTGCGTGGGACTGGCATGCCTCGTGTGGTTCAGTTGGATTGGCTCTGACGACGTCGAAACATACATCTTGATTTGGCAGTACCACGCGTGACGCATTCGAGGGATAGTAATGCATGCGACAGGCAGCGGCCCCGACTCGCTCGAAACAATCAACCGGCGGCTACATGTCTGTCGACTTTTAAACTTGCGGAGCCGAGAATCAGCATATCTTGGACTAGAGCGCGATGGCCCGTCACAAAAACGGGCAGAGCTAGATCATGAATGGACCATGGCAATAGCAAACCTCGGCGAAGTGGTCGAACCACATGCTCGCATGCTCAGCCGAGATGAGCGGTGCGGCATTCATCTCGATACATCAACACAAACAGGCAGGCTTTGCTCCTTGTTCTTAGGGTTACTTGATGCGGCAAAAAAATTAGACGATGGCACAGACAACAGCAAAGGTGCCGTGGCACACGCGGCTCCCGACATCGATGCATGACGAAGTTGTCGCAATGTCTGTTCGCTCGCCGATTCTCCGGGGTTATGGTCATAGCAGACAAAGTGTCAGCACCAATTACGGGTGGTCAAGTGGGAAGACAGTGCGGTTCCCTCCCATCCGGGGACTATCAACTACAAGCAACATGCGTATCGATCAGAGCAGAGGTAAGAATCAAATGGTTGCAGATGTATCACAGGTGGTACTAGGATAACTCGCACTTTCAGTTTGTTGGGGCAGCAGGATGGAAGACAAACAGAGGCCTTCGAAAGTCTGCTGCTTTTGCCGATCTATGGTCCACTGGTTGTTGATGCAACCCAGAATGCTATGCGATGGAAAGGAGGAATATTGGGTGTGGCCGAGGCATATTTGGGGAGTTTGAGAAGACGTTCATCTGTTGATGCCTGGCCTACTCCTAGTATGCGAACGTGGTCCAGATCGGTACGGCGAAGTGACGAGTCGGATCGAGAGGTCATGGTGGAAGACCAGATAAGGTTGTAAGGTGAAATTGGCATCGGCAGATGACGGGTAGTCTAGTCTTTGACCTGTTACCAATGAAGATGACGGGAATATCGATGTCGAGGCCCTACGGTACTTCTGGGTATGTATCCGTAGATGAGCACGCCGAGGAGGCGAAGTGGTGGGATGGGATGGCCGTTTCACGTACCGCTAGCCTACGGCGATGGGCCGAGGCGATGCAGGACAAGGGCAGTAGCCTTTCGGTTCTACTTATCGCATTGCTGACATTTGCGGTACATCTCAACAAACATGTGCAACGGAACCATCAGGCAGATACAATGTTGTGTTGCACGAGCGCACGCGATGTATACCTTTTGAGTGGATGAAGTTGAAGTTGACAGCGCGAGACCTCAAGCTGAGATCCATCCCCCTCCGCTCTCCCCTCCTCTCCCGGCCCAGTTCCGGCGTTCACTGTGGATCTAAACAGGGACCCCAGGGCTGGATGCGGATAGGGATGTGATGCGGGCAGAGCGGGAGCGGGGGAATGGGGGGAGAGGATCCACGGATAGGTTGCATCACTGCATCATCATCCCTGTCGTCAGCTTCCATCAGCGTGAGCGCGACCTCTTTCCAAGCCAGAAGCGGGAGATGTACTCTACCTAGCTGGCTGGGAATAGGTACCGTAGCTCCATCATGTGTAATATCTCAGACAACTTGGCTACTTTCTTGTTGTTTCCAGGCTCGTTGTGAAGGTACCCGTACAAAGGGCACCAATTCCGACTTAGGTAGCAAAGCCCTGGTACCCTGCCGTGGACTGGTGACATCAAGCAACGAGCTGGCCAGCTGCAAGACCAAGTATCTTAGGTACCTGTCATCCCTCTGGCAGACAAGGAGTTACATCCATCATATAAGGTACTTCCCACCTTGGCTATCTGGAGGTAAGGTAGGTAGCCCGCCATGCATCTGTCTGGATCTTTGAAAGTAAGTAAGTACCTTAGCTTACATTACCTCATCTTCCCTTCCCAAAGAGTCAAGTTGCCAGTCTACCGTAATCAAGCCCAATCCATCTCGCAACACCTCCATCTTCCATTCACCTCCCTGACAGTTCCTCTTCCTTGCTTCTCAAACCTCCTCATCCTCTTCCACCTTTATGCTCACCGTCCCCGATCCCCGTCCCTCCATTCCACCTTGCGACACCCGCGACGCCGAGCAGGGACACGGTACCTTGGCCACTCGTTCCGACTCAGAAAAGTCGCCGGACGTTTCCTCCCCGCCCAATCACCTCGCGGTACCTTACCTAGCTAAGGCAGGCAGGGACGATCCAAGTCAAATCGCCACCACCTCAAGCCTGCTACGTAAGGTAGAGAGTAGGTAGAAACAAAACAGAGACTAAAACCACCTCCCATTCCCATTCCTGCCAGCGACATACCAACGAACGCCAGCCCGAATCCTCAGCTCGTGGCGCTTCACTTCTCGCCCTTTTTCGCCCTTGGTGTCTTGTTACACACCACTGACTGACCCAACTGTCTCTGTCGCACGTACACACCACACACATTCGCTCACTCGCACATGCTGCAGTGTCTACACGCCTACTGCGAGCTGCGAGACACGCAGCTCCTCATTTGTTCCTAGCGCCCATTCTTCCCTCTCTCCGCCCCTCTTCCTCCTTTCCTCCTTTTTTTCCTTTCTCTCTCCTTTCCTCGGGCTCAAAAGCGCGTCTTGGAAGAGCATTTCTCCTAGGCTTTTTCTCAAGGTTGTGGCGTGTGTCGGATGAGGAGCCTTCAAAACCCCTAGATTGCCTGCCCAAACTCGGACTCTCACATCTCGCGTCGAGCTTCCAGCAATCGACACCTTATGGAATAATAGTAAAGGACGCAAGAAGACACCATAGGAACCGAATTCCACAATAATACATTTGAACTATCCGAGCTGGTATCACTTGCGCCGCCCACCATGTCGGACGAGAACGGTTCTCGAAGTCCAACTTCGCCCCTCACAACGACGAGCAACACCAGTAGGAAGCAGACCATATCATCACCGGGAACGACAGCTTCACCAGCACCCTCGGGGCACTCGTTCAAACGCGCCGTGACCGTAGACGAGACATCTCAGGTGCGCCGGCGGCCGCCTTTCAGCCATATTCCAACAGAGAACTCATTCGCCGAGAGAGGCCTTGGGAGGAGAAGGAGTTCGACGTTGTCGGATTATAGCTTTGGCGATGCGAGAGATTTTCTCAACCCCAGACCTGGAGACGGTTTACCATCAACATCGACGGACGAACTATCCAACTGGGCCTCGGTTCCTCTGGCATTTGCACTTTTACCCGCGGTCGGTGGTCTGCTTTTCAAGAATGGTAGCGCCGTTGTGACGGACGTCATGTTGCTGGGCTTGTCGGCCGTGTTCCTGCACTGGTCCGTCACGCATCCATGGTAAGTCTGGCTCTCTATTCTCCGATGTATCGTGACCAGCACGATCTCGTCAGAGAACGGTACAATTCGAGCGCTGACACCATCCACCAGGAATTGGTACCACTCCGCGCAAGCAGTACGAGAGCGGGCAGAGATCAGCACGAGCGCCGTTATTGACGACGAGAGCGAGACAGAGCAGGCGGCTAGAAGCCCCTCACCGGCAGCATCGACGGCTAATGGCCACACGACCAACGGAAGCGTCGACGAAGCGTCCGAAGTACCCACGACGCCCACGTCCTTTGTCCAGGAACAAGTACGCAAGACGACGCCGCCAAGAAACAAGAAGGAGGACGCATTGGCTGAGCTATGGGTACATGAAATTCTGGCCCTGGTATCATGCTTCATGTTTCCCATGCTGGGCGCATATTTGCTGCATGCCATTCGCGCGCAACTTAGTCGGCCCTCGGAGGGTCTGGTTTCCAACTACAACTTGACGATTTTCCTCTTGGCTGCAGAGGTACGGCCGATTTCGCATCTCATGAAGCTCGTGCAGTGCAGGACCATTCAGCTGCAGCGGGATGTCCACGTAAATCCGTACAAGGACGACGGCGCCACGTCAGATCAGATGAGGGTTCTCATGGCACGGTTGGAAATGCTCGAGTCACGGCCTGAGCCGACGCCGATGAAGCACAATGGAAACTCGGACAATTCTAAAATCAAGCAAGAGGCTTCTATTGCCCGCGATGTTCGTAACGCCATCCAGCCCGATCTGGATGCGCTGAATCGGGCTGTGCGACGATACGAGAAGAAGGCGACTGTACTTGCCTTCCAGACCGAATCGCGTTTCGCGGCAGTCGATACCCGCCTGAACGATGCCATTGCGCTGGCGGCAGCAGCGGCAAAAAACAGCGTCGCTCGGCCGGGCTTTATGCAGTGGCTTGTAGAATCCGTGTGGGCCATCATCACGATGCCCTTCTTCGCGGTGGTCGCTCTGCTGGTGCTGCCTTTCAAGACAGTTAGAGGCTTGCTCAAGCGTAAGAAGAGGTCCCTCCCTGAAAGGACATCAAAGTCTAGTCGAAATGGGAAGGCTGTGGGACACGGGAGGATGGCGGCAGACAGACAACCAAGCCGCGTCTCAAAGAGGTGAAAATGATATAAGATATTGGGGCGTAAGATGAGAGCAAGGCGGAGGGGCTAGGAGGTTTCCCAGGTATTCATTCTCTTGGTAACCAGAAAAAAGGATCAGGTTTTTGGCAAGGATACCACCCATGAGACAAGAGGGATGGGGCTTTCCAATAAGCCGGCGTTGTAATGCGGTTTCCGAAACCACGTCCTCTGAGAAACCAATTCGGAGGACACGGGCTTCGATGTGTTTGGAGAAACAACACCTACACTGTACTGTTACGTGTCGAATTATATTCTCATCAACGTCTACTATGATTTTGTGATGAACCACGATGTGATCGGGAATTCCTCCGTGATCATTGAACATAATGAAGGAGTAAGGTCTTACTTTGGACAGCATCAGTATGGCTCTGCGTCTGGTCACTTTGCCCTGCGTCCGCCGCCGAAAAGCATCAATTTGGTATCCATGTCACGGAGATATATTTCTTAGTTTGTTCGAAGTTCGGTAGTGACGAAGATCAGGGGCAAGGAAGAGAAGGAACGCAGATCGATGGATTGGAAAAGAAGGTATCAGCTCATACGTTTCCATGAGGTAGCTTTCACGCCCCTGCCCCTTTGCCATGATTTCGAAATCGATTCTTCTTTTGACGGTATTGCATATCGGAGACAAGGGGGAAAAAGATGAGCTTGGATGATTGTAGTCATGTTTTGTAGATCAATGCATTCCCACCTAATGGTTATTATGTGCAAAGCGGTCTTTTGGTCATGGTATCAACTTTGGGGTTAGATGCCTGATTGCGGTCTAGAGGCAGAATCACCTCAACTCGCGATATTGACAGCCATTCATGACGTGGAAGATTCTACATTTGCACATCGAGCTAATATGTTTGATGCTAGGGTGTCTCCACAACATGGTGCTGTATTGGGGGCATTGCTTTAGATGTAGAAGCTCATTACTCACTACGACGTTGAAACTCGGCCTTTGTGGAAATATTACTGTGCGCTTTTTGAGGCTTGTGAGTACTAATGTGAAGACAACTGAATGCGTGTCAAGGAAGGGAGGAAAGTGGACATTGCGAATCTCATCAAGACAAAATTTGGCTTATTATCTAGGGAACGATGGCTAAGGTACTCGAACTCGCGAAATTGTTTGATGTCAAAGGCGTTCTCTGCAAGAGTGTAGGTCTCTATCCCGAACCAGAGAGCAATATTCACCTTTGAATTCACATCAAAGATTACGTGACTGATATCACGAGGGATAGATTGCATCTCGTCAAGTGCTGTCAGAAGTAACAATCCCCAATGAATGAGAGAGAAAGGAACGGCCGACGTATTGGTCCTGGAAAGATCTTCCATCAGCTACTTCTGTCGAGGGAGAAGAATAGCATCCCTTCCGCTAGGAGAGCACATTCCGTTCCAATGTTCAACCGATTGTCTTCTTACAGATTGCTGTTGCGTCATTACGTTGGGGAAATTGAAGAAGAGCCGGATAATATCACCATGGACGGGCTAGATGACTTTGTCACAGATTTATAATGACCAGTCGATGGCGAAGATAACAACTGAGCGGCGACAGCATGATCTCGCCACCAACCTTTTCTGAGGCTCCGTCGCCGCATAGTGCCTTGATCACAACACCCGTCGAACTTTCTCACATACAGGAACAGGAGGAGGTTGGGAGAAATCCGTTCATGCATACAAACACATCCGTGCCCATCCACGTGCGGTCATGTCAGCACGTCCTAGAAGGTTTCATGGAAGTTCTCTGCCTGGCCCGGCGGCGGTCAAAGAGTCCTCTGGGGATGGTAGATTCTCATGGGAGAAAAAGCTGGGGAAGTCCAGAGCCCCGATTCGGCTGCAGGCGCTTGGGTCGCGGGGAGGGTGTTGACAATGTCATTGTGGTTGTGGCCACGCGGAGGCTCTCGCGGCAGTGTCACTTATTCGGTGGGATGAGGTTGATCCGATGATGCTGCAGGAAACGGATGCCGCAGATGACGAACTAAAATGGTAGGAAGCGTCTGGCCATGCGCGGGCTTCTGCTATAGAATTCGAGGCCCGTCCAAGCTACCTTGGTGCCAGAGGCCTGCTCAAAGGTCCAAATGAGTCCGTCATTTTTACCGGGCGGCTCCAGAAGGACACACGTCCTCACGGAGTTGTAAGGACGGCGTCAAATCGGAGTGACCATGTGGGCGAGACGAGGAGGATCGCTTACACGATGTCCCGCCTCAGTAAGTTGAAGCCGTTGCCCAGGTCCAGAGTGAGTCGACACAACAGCCCAATCGGCTGTTAGTAGAACATGGATGGTGTTGGTTGAGCCCTTGTCAGTGCCCGGCTTTGGAAAGGGAGAGAGTCTTGAACCAGGGGAGGCCTGTTTCCGGTTCACGGCATGATTATGCCCCTCCACACAAGGTCGGACGAACCGCTCAGGGGAACCAGTTCAACCGGCCGGACCATTCCTCATGCCGCCCCAGGTACGAGGTCGTTATTCGACGAGGTTGTCCCACGATGGCCGATAAATTGCCATGCCAAGGGAGGAACAAGAGCTGGGGGGTCAGTGGTTCGCGGGAGTCCGCAGACACGGCGTCCGAATATGGGACGAATACGCCAATAATCTGGGTCGAACAGCAGCGGAAGGTGTAAGGGTCCGGAATTGGCGACATGCCATAGTGGCGCCGAGATTGAGGTGTTGCTTTTCTAGAGTTACACGAGAAGCTACCGACTTGGGTTTTCAGCCCAATATCTGGAAAGGTATGCGGAGTATCGAGACCAAAGACACAATAATTAAGAAAGCAAACTCAGGATCGCCAGTATGGGGGAGGCTCATGCAGTGAGGCTTTGCTCGTATCAAAGCGAGCAGGGATGCGAAGACCCCTTTATGCGATGAGGCGCAGAACGCGGGGCAACTTGTAAGTGCTATGGTATACTTGTACCATCGGCAGTCGGGCAGTCAAACAAGGGCATTCAACAACGACTGCCCAAAAATATCAGGAGAACAACGCTTCGTAAGCTTCCGCTGTTGCGTGTCCTGTGCTGTCATTAAGCACATGGCAAGAGTCGATGCTAAAAGAAATTTCTTCTCCCTTGGCTTGCTCGATCGGGCAAAGGAATGTGTGGACCCTTCAATTTCACAGGTGCTTGGCCGAGAGCGCGACTAAAAGAATAGCGGCGCCGGCAGCGCGGTTTCGACCCAGATCAGCCAGTGAGTAGTGTCGTGGATGGACGTGCTTTGCTTCCATCGAGACATCCAGACCGTGTTGAGAAAGAAAATAGAAATCTGGTTTGTTGCCAGTCAAAATAATTGGAAAGCCACTGTTTCCAGACGCAAGCCTCGAAATAATGCCGAATCCGTGAAGTCAGTAGCAGGCGTCAGCTGATGAGATGAAAACAGAACAGCCTACGTCAGAATGTTTGTGACCGTGGGCATGACCATGGCCATTTCGATGCGCTTGCCACCTATTCCTTGTTGACCAGACTCAGAATCAGACAACTGAGTCAAATTGTCTTTTTACCCCCAGGCTCAACCAGACTCAGGGGTGAGGGGCCATCTGTCAAGCCGTCATTGTCCATCAGGCCGTCTCGCAACGATGGATCTACATGCCCCAAATAGAGACCCAATGCCGTGGAGAGTATCACTGGGCTGTCCATATTGGGGGTCCGAAAGTTTCGTCCAAAGCTTAAGTGGGTTCTGGGTGGACTCGTTGGTCGGCAAGAGAGTTCAATATGTATGTGCGGCGTCCGTTGTGGTTGAAGGGAGAGCTGAGCAAGTGTTCCGGTATCATTGGAGGTCCCCGCGCTTGTGCGTTGTGTTGGCCGCGTACTGGTTTGGGAGGATGCACTAGGACTTGTCGAGGATGGGCACGCAAATACAGAACTATTGTATGCAGGCCTAGACGACGTGCTCGCGATCCGATCGCGCCGGGTTGTCATGGTTCGCGTTGGAAGTCGATCAGAACGCCTCTCGTAATCTCGATCAGCTGGAGAAAGGCAGAAAAGATCTGACAGGAAAACCAGCTGAAGGACGATCAATGGAGACAGAACACCGGGGCCAAATGTCATGTCTATTGCCGGAAAAGCGCGTCTTCGGAAGTTATTGACGCATAGCCTGGTATCGCAAGCATGGGTCTTCCGTGGCCTAGTCGTTCGTGCCAGTCTAGCAAGATGCTAAGAGGAGTCGAGGTGGGGTGAGGGATTGTGCTTCGATGATATTAAGGATGAGCGACGCTGTGTTTGCTGGTGAAGTGAGATGAAGGCTCCCTTTCATTGCTTGAAGAGTCAGGAAACTTGAAAGATTCAGAGTTAATTCCACGTTCAAAATCATAGTCCGTAGTGACGTATCCAACGTACGATAATTCTAAAATGGAAGGCAAGTGTTCGTCCACATCGATTTTCTCTCTTGCCTTTCTAGATGCTCGTCTTCCAGGTTCCTTCCTCCCTTGAATACACCGTTAAGCTAAGGCAGGAACCGACCTAAGACGGGATGGGCTAGTGGATCTGGAGAAGGCTTAGCGTAGGTGGCACCTGCTTTCTCGGCCCTGGTCATCAAGAAACGCCGGCTGGGTACCTACCGTGCTACCGTGGGTGCGTGGTACCTTACCTTACCTGACTTTACTACTTTGTACCTGGAGATCATCCTCGTCCCGCTGCGTCGGTGCAACTCTTTCATTTCGCATCCATCCATCACGACTTTTCCCCTCCAAGGTCTTCAAAGTTCAAGATCTCCACATCCCGTTTGACCGGAGACGTACAGGTGCAGTTTGTAGGTGCAGCGAAGCTATGGACTGCAACACCACCCCACCCCACCCTGGTTGACCACTGACCTGTTCAAGGAAGACAAGCCAATGTTCGTCCTGCGCGGCACCGCGGCTACCGGCCTTGTCTTGCCTCGGGTGCGCCACCGATCTTGCGGCGGACCTGATTCACTTTGCAATAATCTCCTTTTTTCCTCGATGGCGTACCCTATTCGTTCTTGGAGGCTTAGAGCTCAGCTGATGAACGACGTCGGCCGAACCGCCGCCGCTACCGTCTATCCAACGCTGTCGGAAAAAAGCAATTTATCGCAGAACCTACAGCGATACGGTTGACCTAAACGTCCGCATCTGGACACGAATTCATGCGGGTGGCAGAAGACTATTGAAAAAGCTCAAGTCGATTCTCCCATTCTGGAAATGCAGACGCCGTGGCCGTGGGAAAAGCAGCAAAGGTTAAACATGATTTCCACATCATCATGATGCGTACGAACCACGATGCTGCCACAG